ATTGGCCTGATTTACTCAATAATTACTCCTTTATTATAAATAATAGAAAAAAATGGTTCAGGACTTTTCGACTCAGTTTTACTCCTTCTATCTGCCTACAAGAGATTGTACGGCAATTCTGGGACACCCTGTATATTTATTATTAGTAATTTATGTCGCGTTCTTGATTACATGGTTTATCAGTCGAGAGAGATGCTGTTCGTGAGTCGAGAGATAATACACTTCTCTACATCGAGTAATCTCGTAATAAAAAGCGATAAAGCGATATCAACAATGCAATAAAAACAGAAACTGTTTGTAAATACAAGCGTGGCCTAATCTTACTCTGCGCAACTTCAAATGTCAATTTCATTGTCGATTACAAGCGATATATGTTACCTTGAAGATATGAAATTTCGCGATTTTCGCTCTGTGTTATATATCCACAACAATAATATTTGTAACAAGAAATTTTCCAACGTGAGTTTTGCGAAGGAAATTGGCAAGGATGCGCGCGCACACAGATTTGACTTTGATTGTAGTATATATAAAACTTGAAAAAAAAAAAAAGAAAGTTCGCGATCAGATTGCTTTCGCTTTTCTAATATAGAAACAAAAGGCAAACCAAATATAATTGACAAAAACCAAAGACAAAGATGCTGGCTGTATTTTTAGTTCAAGATTTTATAAAATTTTTACACGTCTGCTTTCCCATTGCGGATCAACGATTTCGTCGCTCATCCGCAGCTAAGAAAGTGCAACGCACACGACGCTCTGTCTCTTCCAAAAAGATAAACTTTTCTATTAGCTATAAATAATCACTCCTAACTTTCTATCGTTCCACTCGCGTCTCTCCACCCAGAGTTGAGTTGAAAAAAGATGAACACAGCTCTCGTCATCATTTTTACGCTTTCTAAAATCCTTGTGTTTTTTTTGCGGATAGGAAACAAATTACAATTATTTATACTTGTGTTTAAATATTAAATTAACAATTGACAAGATATTAAGAAACAAAAAAAACAATGCTAAAACAATCCTATGTATTATCTTGTGATTTAAATACGTAATACATATTGTACTCTTGACCTTTGACACGATTGTGAAATTAACTGTGGTCAAGAACTGATTTTGAAAATATATTCTACATATCATGTTTATATAATTATTTCTCGTTGTCTTTCTTTTATCTGTTTATCACGATATGACGCTCGAATACGAGCGTGCGAATCGAGGACGATGCCTGAAATAACGGAGCGAATAACGGGAATTTAATACATTTGACTGTATGTGTATTTGTTTCGAGAGATCACTTATGATTTATTACGATACGTACATAGAGTTTGATCACATGTGCTAATAGAAATATACACGTATTCTGCGTGAAATATAATGCAAAACCAAAAATTTATCTTAAAAATCTGTGCATACAAAATTTATATACCACTGTATATAAAAATATTTTTATAATAATTTTTATAGTATTGAAAATAATTGAAAATAATAAAAATTTTATTTTGACACGCCAAAATTGTTTCTCAACTTGGAATTTATTTTTAATACAAAATTTTTAGTCAAACAATATTAAAATATTGATTTCGTTAAAAATAATTCTTCTTTCAGTGTCGCAAATCAATTTATACATTTTTTTCTGACAAAAATACTCACACGATGCGTAAAACTTTGCTTCAATTTGCATTGTATCGACGGGAATAAGTGGTATTTTATTTACAAGTCATTTTTGTGTGCGATAAAACGATATGTGCGCAAAATGACGCAGAATTTCGTCACGCTCAAGCAACGTAAGACGACACACGTGATGACTTAGACTGCTTAATTAATTAATTCGCGTGACGCGCAACATTTTCTCGTAGGTACTTAATATGCTTACAGAAACTCAGACTGTTTTCTCAAAATTGTCGACGCAAATTCGAAGAAAGACCGACCGGGCGATTCCGGTCGTTTTGTTCGGGAAATGCCTATAATAATGCAGTTTTGCGATAAAATCCAAAAATTTGCAAATCAAAGATTCTGTAAAGAGAAATGTGTTTTCTAAGAAAATGTTAAAAAAAGTACGCTTGCATTCGCGCTCATTTGCCGAAATGATATCGTCTCTCAAAATTACCTGAAAAATTCAAAAAAGTTACACACGTGTTAAATATAATACAATAAATATTTAAAATCGCAATTTATTTACAATTGTAAAACTGACTTAAAAATCAACATATTTCCCGGAACATTCCGGATGATAATGGGTGCGTTCAGACAACTCAACAGTTGCACACCGGTTGATAGATAATCACTTCTGATCGGATCATACTTCTGGATCCGTTGTAGATTTTGTAGAATAGTCCTATCATAAGTGATGACCTTTCAACTGTTGAGTTTTCTGAACGTAACCAATGATCCGACCCGAGTTGTTGTGATCACTGGGTGCGTTCAGACAACTCAACAGTTGCACAACGGTTGAGAGATAATCACCTCTGATTGGATCATACTTTTGGAACCGCGGCAGATTTTGAAGAATAGTCCTATCGTAAGTGATGATCTCTCAACCGTTGAGTTGTCTGAACGCACCCACTTCGTTCGAAATCACAAAGTTGCAACGACGACGACGACGACGACGCCGCCGCCGTCGAGCGAGTTCAACTACTCGACGAACAGAGAGGGAGACAACACAGCGTGTGGTGCAGGGATGCCAGATTCCGGCCGCTTGGTAGCATGCGGTAGCGTGGAGGGGATACGCACACAGCTTCATGCCGTGTACGTGTGCGCTCGAGCTTAGGAGTCCTAACACGGCATGAAGCTGTGTGCGTATCCCCTCCATGCTACCGCATGCTACCAAGCGGCCGGTATCTGGCATCTCTGGTGTGGTGGGAAAATAACATAAAGTCCCTTGCACAATGGAAGGAATAATGATAGCGATGAAAATAACACAGTTTTAGACACAGAATTTCAACTCGTTGAAAATTTTATCGCTATTGCTTATTCTGATTTTCTGATCTGCATTGATACATGTGTACTTTTGTATGTTATAGATTCCGCTGTTCCTACCGTTATTTATAAATGTAAACTCTTTAAAACTGGTATTGGCCACGTTCAGCAGACTAAAGCAGATCAAAGATCGCTTAGTGATTCTTTAATATGATTGAATCTTGCTTTTAGATCTTTGATGGATCTAAGTATTAGAAACCAATCATATTGAAGAATCACTAAGCGCTCAATGATCTACTCAGTCTGCTGAACATGATCATTGGGTGATCATTCAGACAACTCAACAGTTGAACAACGGTTGAGAGATAATCACTTCTGATTGGATCATACTTTTAGAATCAAAGCAGAATTTGAAGAATAGTCCTATCATAAGTGATGATTTCTCAACCGTTAGGTTTTTTGAACATGATCATTATTTCTATCGCTAATCGCTATTTCGTCCGTTGTGCAAGGGGCTTAAGCGCGGATCATCCGCTGGGGTGAAGAAACGCGGTTTTCTCGTTGGGGATAGAGTAGTATACATGTAACCGGCAAACCGTTCGTCGACGATTCATCGTCGCGTGTTTACGGGACGCGAGATCGTCACAAATCGGTCAGAACCTTTTCGTCGCGTGATAAATCGCAAAATCTATCAATTCAAATCGATTCAAGTGCAAGCAACAGATCGCATCGCGATCTCGTCGCTTACGTAAGTCGCCTGTTTTTTTTTTTTGTTTTTCTTTTTTTTTTAGCGATTTAACGTGAACGTTAAAACGAAAAGAAAAAAGAATCAACAAACACCACAATCCGCCATAGAAATACGAATGCAACCACAATTTTACGAAATTCGATTCGCAAAGAGCCCAATAACGGTCTTTCTCTCGATGTGCTAACAACAACAATTTTGAAAGAACATTTTTGACTTCGCGTGTGTATGTGTGGCGGATAATTATCTAACATATCAAATCGTCACCTGTACGGAAGACGAGACAGTAGATCAGGGCCGACGACGAAAAAAAAACAAATGTGCGCATTTTATATAAATTGCCGTTCGAGCACGCGAATTAAAAAATATTTGAATTGAATGCAAATCGTGAAGCACTCGTTTACCTTTTACGTGTGTATATATATATATATCAAAAACGGAAGGGTTTCGGTCAAGAATAATAAAAGTCGCGTTACGTTGACAAAAATACGTGCGAAAACCGCGCATCGTGAAAACCGTATAAAAAAAAACAAAAACGAAACGTCGATCGTACAATTGCAATTTTCAACTTTGTTGTTGAAGGATTTTAGGACAAATCTCCGAACAAACCGTCGATTTCTGTAAAGCAAGCATCTATTGAAGTCGTGTTCTATGGACGACTATCACGTGACGAACCGGCTCTGTACAACAGTTTTGCACGTTAATTGTCACAAATGACGACACCGAACAAACGTTGTAAAAATCAATAAAAAAAAGTGCGCGCATCGCGAGTAATCGAGCCGCATTTGCAAATTTAACCGCGAAACGTGGATTTTTTTTTAACGCACAATTACGCGGCGTACACGCCAGAGCCGCGGTAAACATTCGCGCGTACATAATTTATTTATACAGCACCTTCTGTGACCCTTCAGCCCCCGTCGTTGCTATCGTAATACCTCTTGTCTGAACAACATTTTTGTGCGTTACAATTTTTACAGTTTTTTTACAGTTTTACGTTGGTGCAAAGGTGTGTGCGCGCGCGCAAGTGCATGTGTGTGTGTGTATTTTGCATGCGTCACGTATCAGTTTTGATCGCTCGAAAAATGGAGGCCACTATGCAAGCAAAAACCACGCGTACCAGTGCAAACGTATCGTACATTCTTTACACAATGCTACTATCCGGAGTCGTGATGGTCGTCTTGTATTGGATGATATGCCACTTTCTCAGCCGAACATCGCAATCCTATCGTGAACGTCGGAATTCGTCGAAAAGTAAGTCGTATAAAACATTTTTATTTCTCACACAAAAAAATCGCATTCGCACTATGTGTACTTTATACAAGTGTTCTTTTGGCTCAGTGGACCTACAAAGCTAGTCCATACGCCATTCTATGTCTTTTTGATAACAGGTTTAAAACCGTGGATTGGGTTCCTGACTTGCCAAGCCACGGAGTTGTACATTTGTTTAAATTAAAGATAATAATAAAGAAAGTGGTGTAAAACACTGACAATTGTCCAAAAATATTCACTACTCACATCCAACTATTATTCACGCAAACGCTAAACACAATTTATACAAGTGGTTTGGTTTGGTGCATATATGGCTCAAAGGACCGTTTCAAGCTAGTCCATACGCCATTCTAAGTCTTTAGGAATCGTGACACAGGTNCTAAACCGTGGTTTGGGTACAAGCCACGGAGTTGTACGTTCGTTAAAAATACTGATAAACTGAAGAAATCGGTGTAAAAACACCGAAGATTGTCCAAAAATATCTAAGCGTAACTACGCACATCTAACCGGTACGGCTGATGCAACACTAGAATTTATTTTTTTAATTTATTTAATTTATTTATACAAGTGCCTGCCGCGACCATAGACGTATAACATATAGACTGCGCGTTCCCTACCTTTGCCATGTTAAGAAAATGTCTTCAACGTTGAGAGAGACAGCTGGTGTTGAATAGTAGCCTCATCTTTGTCTAGCGAAGTAGTGGGGAAAAAAGAAGTCTTCGCTATTTGATAGAATAGTAGTGGAAAAGTGGGGATAGAAAAGTAGTGGGAGTGAAAGAGATTAAAGGGTTGACGGTAGGTCAGGTGGTATCATGATGTAAATATAACAGGTGTATCATTCCCGTGAATGCGAAGTGGTTCAAGTAATGGCCGCTCTCCGAACCAATCAAAAACTGGCCTCAAATTTTAAAACTAGCGTAGTCACTAGGGCTGCGGTCCGTTTCATGCTTAAGCGCGCATTTATCTGTAGTATATGTCACGTATACTATAGATAAATGTGCGCTTAAGCATGAAACGAACCGCAGCCTAGCAGTGTTACAAGATAGGACAGGTTAGAACAGTGTATTACAAACAGCAGCGAACAAACGTGAGGTAAGTTAAAAATATATCATATAAATTAAATTAATGAATGAATAAATCATATAGCTTATATAAAATGATCAAACAATTGTAAATTCTATTCAATTTTTTATTTGTGTATTATATATTTATTTTTGTTTGCAGACACAATGCCATCATGCTGTATAAAAAATTGTAAAAGTCGAACATTTTACACGGATACAAAAGGAATAACATTTTTTAAGTTTCCAAATGAGGAAAATATCCGTAAGTTATGGATAAATGCTTCTGAGGAGTGAAGGGAGCATTAAAATTGATTCTGGCAAGTTAATATAATAAACATATTTTATATAGCAAAATTTGTCAATATAACTTACAATATAATGTATTGTTTATAATATGATTTTATTATAAAAATAATGAAATTGTACAGAATGAAATATAATTTTAGCAATAATATGCAGTCTTCATTTTGATGATGATTGCTTTATAACGCAATGGACACAACCACACTCAACAAAAACAGCAAAACAACTGAGGCGGCTGAAAGTAGATTTTATTCCTACGAAAATGTTAATTTTAGCGAAAAAAAAAAGGGAAAATCTTCAACAGTGATGAGACAATCACAAGCAAAAAAACTAAAATACTGTGAGTTTCCCTTTTTTAATAAATATATATAATTCAATTAATGTATTTTTATTAATGTATGTACATAAAAAATAAGTTATATTGTTATATTATATTGAGCAGAGGAAACAACGGCAAAATCTTGAGCAAGTTGTAGCTGCTGAAATGATTGAAAGCAATGCATTATTGTACATTGCTGGATACGTTGCACACAGATTTCGAAATACTTTTTGTGAGCTAGGAATTCGTACCAAAGATCTTCCTAATCTACAACCAAACAATTGGCTTTGCATGCTATCACGAGGAAATTGTATATATCCCCCTCATAATTTTTTTGAAGCAGCTACTATAATGGAAGAAGAGTTTCAAAAATTTCATGGAAATTTTTTTAATAAACAAGCAAAAATCTTTGATAATTTAACAAATATTATATGTACAAAAACTAAAAATAAGTTTTTTAAACAAGTTATTGCTTGTCTAGTGCGTACTAGAACGTATATCAGATTAAGAAAAATAAATAAAGGTATAACACAAAATAATTGTATGAGAAAAAAAAGAAAAAAATTAAATAAAATATGTAATAAAAAATAAGTATTGATAAGTATTGATAATAAAAATATTTTGATAATAAAACTAATAAATACTGATAAAAAACAAATTTTATAAATTTTGTATTACTTTATATACCTGTATACACTCTTTTGTATATAAATTATAATTATATTTTACTTATTAACGTAGCTAATTATTTATTATTTTTTATTTAAATTTCTTTAGCTTTTTATTAGTATCAACTTTTTAATAGTTCTTAACCTTTTTGTATCATATTTTTCTACATTTTAATTTATCTGTATTTTTCCTCAATTATTTTTATCAATATTATATTTGAATTTCACGCCAATTTTGGGGCAAATTTCTTATTAGTTTTTACCGTATTCAGCCATAGTAATTCTTTCTCTGTTTATCATTTTCCTCACTACTTCGCTAGACAAAGATGAGGCTACTATTCAACACCAGCTGTCTCTCTCTCAACGTTGAAGACATTTTCTTAACATGGCAAAGGTAGGGAACGCGCAGTCTATATATTATACGTCTATGTAGACTGCGCGTTCCCTACCTTTGCCATGTTAAGATAATGTCTTCACCGTTGAGAGAGACAACTGGTGTTGAATAGTACCTCATCTTTGTCTAGCGAAGTAGTGGGGGAAAAAGAAGTCTTTGCTGATTGATAGAATAGTAGTGGAAAAGTGGGGATAGAAAAATAGTGGGGGTGAAGAGGAGTGAAAGAGATTAAGGAGTGATGGCAGATTAGGTGATATAAAACAGTAGACCCTGATCCCACCAAAGACATTGATAGACAGATGAAGAGTTACTATTCAAAGTATGTTTTTCTCAACACGTTGAAGACATCTTTTCAGCCAAACGCGCAGTCTATATATTATACGTCTATGACCGCGACTACTTGCTTTTTGTCAATCAGAGATCTTTCAAACCGGGCAGGCGCGAGTTTCACTATCTTACAATATCATATGTATAAAGAAAAGATCATAATTTTCAATGATTATAATTACTATTACAAATAAAAATAATTTAAATCTATTTATTATTATTTATATTATTACTTACATGATATAGAATTTATAACATATTGCATTTTTATGATATTTTACAAATACTAAAATAGAAGTATTATATAAAAATAAAAGTATAACATATAATGTGTATAATAACACACTTAATACACAATTATTATTTATATTATTACTTACATGATATAGAATTTATAACATATTGCATTTTTATGATATTTTACAAATACTAAAATAGAAGTATTATATATTATAAAAATAAAAGTATAACATATAATGTGTATAATAACACACTTAATACACAATTAATGATATAATTTATAATGATATAATTTACATATTAATGACATAATATATTGTTTATGTGTGTATATTTGCAAATGTATTATTTTGCGATTATTATTTTACAAATTGTAATAATTGTTAATTTACGAGTTTTATTACATAAAAAACATTAAATTAAAATGCTTTAAAAGCTAAGTCAATTTAATTTCTCTTAATTTCTTTTAATTTTTAGTTAGTGTGGCTACATGACAATCGCACGTGAACGTGAAATAATGAGTTTTGCATATGTTAGTTGATTCGAGAAAGTATTTGAATCAATAATTTCAATAAGCGATGCCATCTCTTTACACCCCCGCTGAATCTGGCTCCTTCCCCTCCTTCCCCATTTTGTCCGGATAAAAATTATTTCAAAATTACAAGCTTTACGAGCCTTTAAATCCACGAGATAAATATTTTTGAACTCGTTTGCTGGAACAGAAATTTCAATTAACTTGTGTTGTATATGTTTGCAGATTCATTGACTCAAAAGAAAACTACATCAGATGCAGTATCCTCGTACCTGACCTCAAAACATGAAAATAACACTAAACGTATAAAACAGAAAAAAAAACGAGAACCACAAGAATTCAGTCATCACTGGAAATTGGCTACACTTAAAGGACATACCGGCTCAATTTACAACATGAGTGTTTCTGGTAATCGCAAATACGTAGCAAGCTGTGCTGAGGGTAAGTGTTTAAGAATAATATAAAAGCAAGAAAAATATTTCTTAAAGAGAGCACACCAGAGTGACGAGTCGAAGCTGTCATACTGTGAAACCCCGTTTATCTAAACTTCTTTTATCCGAAACGACTTGAGGCCGATACTTCGTGTTATACGAGTCAATAGTCCGTATAATAAAGGTTTATCCTCGATTATCCGAATTATCTTGTTCCCCGATTTGTTTGGATAAACAAAGTTTCACCGTAGTAATTTTTGTGTTATAGAATCTTAAATCATTCTGCAATCATGGCTGTTTTTAAGTAATAATTTTTAATAAAGCAAGTATTAAAAATTAATAGTTAAAAGTTTTGTGGTGGAGCTTTTTCAGTATTTTAACGTAAAATAACATATCAGTTTAAAAAAAAAATGCATGAACAATATCTTTGTGATTTTTTGGATCTTTTATTCTAATGTGCTCTCTTAACTGTTTAAACGATTCTCTGCCGTGAAAAAAGTCAATGAATCATTGTTGCCGAGTTTACGCAATAAAATAATTCTAAATAGTGCTTTTTATCTATTTTGTATTATATCGTAGTTAAATAATATTTATTTTTGTTTAATAATGGCCCACTAATACACATGACGCGTAAAATCATTCGAGTTTGTAATATATAAGTTGAGGAATATATTCTACTATTATTCTATCACTCTGTCAGAGCTTTTCACGCGGGCATGTGTATTAAGTACAAGTAAATAAATTACCTATAGCGGCATTGTATCATTTTTTGTTTCCTTCTTTCTTTCTTTCTATTCTTTCTCTCTTTCTTTCTTTCTTTCTTTCTGTTTAGCTTTTCTCGATCGAGTTTGTAATTAGCCATTTTTTTAATAATTATTTATGTAGAAATATATAAAATTCAATATATTTTATCAGAGAAATAAATTGTCTCAGGAAGTATGAAGGACAGTAAGAAAGTAGCGATGTTATCATGTTTATATAAAACTTTTGAGTAGCTATTGAGTAGACGTTTTAAAGAATCCGAAATGTAAAATTAATAGCTTAAAAGAATTTAATGGATGACGACACAAGAATAATAAAATGAGAGTTTTGAAAAAAGGGGAGAGTATTTTTTATCAGATTATTTACGTTTTAGTTATCTAGCACCTGCAACAAAAAATCAGTTGCCCAAAGCAAAGAAATTCGTGCGTAAAGAAATCTTTGAAATTATATTATATAATAATAATATTATATATAATTATATATATGATGATAATATAACAGTAATAATAATAGTAATAATATATGTATTAAACATTATAAACAAGCTTCGGTGGTACAGACACACTTAATATCTATATGTTTATACACATACTTCTGTACATATGTATATGTGTATATATGTATGTTTATACACGTAAACATACACACATACAATATAAGTGATAACTTTATAAATCTGAACAACAACTTGTAAAACAACAAACAAAGTGAATATATGTTGCAAACAAAAACAATTATGAGTTAGATAGTATGCCGCTAAAAATAATAAAACAATGTTATAAATGTCATATAAATATAGAACTATAATAGTATATCAAATAGAAAAATTTAAACTACCCATATATATTTCTCAGTCCGCAAGCTTCAGAAAAGTGATCAATTTTTAAATAATTAAAAATTTATTGAAATGTTGATGGATATACATAACACGACGCTTTTATTAAAAAATTGCAGAAAAGTTGCATTTGTTTAAATATTTTAGATGAAAATTGCAAGAGATCTCTAACGAGATCTCCAAATCCTTAATTCATCTCCTCAAGCTTTTTGATCTCTCGCAACGTTTGTGCGCTCTCTAAGTCGTCATCAACGTCTAATAAATATTTTTGAATCTCCTTTTCATGATCTGACAATGATCTCTGTTGATATTAATAATTATTACATTATTATCATTCAGCTTCGATTTCATCAAATCTTCTGGTCGGCCTCAAAAACTCGTTGCCAGGATCAATCCGCGTTCTCCTTCCTTAATCTAAATCTTTGTATTAAAAAAATTGGATCAAGTTATTTAATATTAATGCAATTTTATGTAAGAAGATATTTGAATTGTTAAATTGAATGTCACAATCATGCTTAGAAGTTTTTTATTTTTGATAAAAAAAATATATTATTAATTCGATGTATTACTGAGACGAGACTATATAAAATATAGATCTATACAGTCATAAATCTCACGCACATTTTTGTAATTTTGTGAACATCTCTCATTCTTGCAATCTCTTTTATTTGATGAAAAAAATACCACAAAAAAATAAAAAATATAAATTCATGTATCGATCAGCAAATGTCGTTTCTGGTAAAAAAAAAAACATAAGTAAATGCAGCTATCACTACTTTATATGTTCCAATATTTTATTTTCAATAAAAACATTATCTTCAGTTCTCAAGTGTGTTGTGAACAGTGTTAGAATACAGGATCAGTGTTCACACAGTTTTGAGACGCTAGCTTAGGCCCTGCGCACAATAGAGACAAAATACTAAGAATAAGAATAAATATTAAATATTAGGAAAAGGAAAGCCGAAGCTTATATCTGATTAGCTTGATCACGGGCTCGACCGTCGCAGAGTCATCCCCAATTCGCGAAGAACTGCTTTGTGTGTATTATGTGAAGCCATGGTGCGGAGAAGGGTTTGACCTTTGAACAACTTTCAGCAAACTTCATCTATTTGATGAGAGCGGTATATCATTTGAACACATTGACCATGTTCAGCAGACTGAGCAGATCAGTGTCACATCATACAGAAGTCAATGCTCACTTAAGGCGATTTTTGGCGATCGTATGGTACACTTTGGTATACGTACCATACGATCGCCAAAAATCGCCTTTAAAGGAAAAGGGCATATTACCAACGTCAATATTACCAACATCAAGATGTAGCACCTGTAATCAAAGTTCCTAGTATCGCGTTTCATTCACGTCAATATATAGTTACATACATATGATATACGACAAATTCGATTGGATGCACTAGTGCGCACTTAGTGCGTCTTCTTTCAATGTGTTGTAGAATATTTCAGTGTTGGTATTTTACTAAACACTGAAAGAGGACGCACTCAGTGCGCACTAGTGCATCCAATCGAATTCGTCGATAGAATATATCGTCACTCCCTACGTATAATTACATAAGTGTCACATATGGGATTTTCAGTTTATTGCATAGTGACACTCAGAAAGTCATGTTCTTTGTGGTCACCAAGTATTAAAAAAAAATATTCATAAGTAAGGTAAAAATTTAAAACCGAAAGATCCCTTAACTAGGGAAACTATATGAAGCTTCAAACTTTTAAACTGGCCTTAAGCGTTCACTGATCTGTCAGTCTATCTTTGTTCTATATTTAAACAACAATAAAGACAGGGCTGTGTTCAGTTAAGCAAGATGGAACGAACTAATGGAGGAAATGCAGGAAATACAGGAATTGGAACTAATGAATTCCTNTATTTCCTGCATTTCNTNCATTAGTTCGTTCCATTTTGCTTAACTGAGCACAGCCCTGTGTTCAGTTAAGCAAGATGGAACGAACTAATGTAGGAAATGCAGGAAATACAGGAATTCATTAGTTCCAATTCCTGTATTTCCTGCATTTCCTCCATTAGTTCGTTCCATCTTGCTTAACTGAACACAGCCCAGACTGACGCTTAAAGCGCGTAAGCGTTCAAAGTGAACGCACCCTTAGTCTGGTCTTGGGGTGCGGTCAACGTCTCACTGCAAATGTTTCCAAGTATCATTCTATCTTTATTCTACATTTAACGAGAAATAAAGATAGAACGATGCTTCAAAACATTTGCAGTGAAGCTTTGACCGCACTCTTGGTCTTGGTGCACTTATTTTTACGTCAATGGCCACGTTCAGCAGACTGAGCAGATCAGTGATCGGAGAGTGATTCTTAAATATGATTGAATCTTGCCTTTAGATCTTCGCTGGATTTAAATGTAGAAACCAATCATATTGAAGATTCACTAAGTGCTCACTGATCTGCTCAGTCTGCTGAACATGGTCAATGTGTTCAAATGATATACCGCTCTCATCAAATAAGGCGATTTTTGGCGATCGTATGGTACACTTTGGTATATGATCGCCAAAAATCGCCTATAGATAGCACCACTAGTTCATAGAAATATAGCTGAAAGTTGTTCAAAGCACAGGGCTGTGTTCAGTTAAGCAAGATGGAACGAACTAATGCAGGAAATGAAGGAAATACAGGAATTGGAACTAATGAATTCCTGTATTTCCTGCATTTCTTGCATTAGTTCGTTCCATTTTGCTTAACTGAGCACAGCCCTGTGTTCAGTTAAGCAAGATGGAACGAACTAATGCAGGAAATGCAGGAAATACAGGAATTCATTAGTTCCAATTCCTGTATTTCCTGCATTTCCTGCATTAGTTCGTTCCATCTTGCTTAACTGAACACAGCCCAGACGTATAATATTAGGTCTACCGGAAAGTTCTGTCCGTTTTTGGAATTAAAACAAAATACACAAAATACACAAATTTTTCTTACCGTCAATAAACTTTATTAAATAATACAATTGCCATTATTATATTAATGATTTCTTTAGACTGCGCGTTTGGGCCATTGCACGTAAAAAAAACATTTTAGCCGTAACCGTAAGATCGTAAGCAATTCAACCAATTACAGACCAATTACAGACCAGTATTACCTTACATTAATTGGAATGCTGGCCAGCGATTGGTCACTTTGCTTACGACCTTGCGATTACGTCTAAACTTTTGCTATGTGCAATTGCCTTTTGGCTGAAAAGATGTCTTCAACGTTGAGAGAGACAACATACTTTAAACAGTATAACTCTTCCTCTGTCTATCATTTACCCCACTACTTCGCTAGACAAAGATGAAGCTACTATTCAACACCTGTCACCAACAGCTGTCTCTCTCTCAACGTTGAAGACATTTCCTTAACATGGCAAAGGTAAGGAACGCGTAGTCTATATATTATACGTCTATGGTTCAAAGGGCGAACCCTCCCTCGCACCATAGCTTCACTCCTTGCGCTTATTCCTTTAATAGCCTCTCCTTTACCTTCTTCCACCGCTACAGCATGCTAGTACAGAATGCACACAAGTAGTGGAGGAAGAATCTACTTGATGAAGTAGAGTAGGAGAACCTAGCAACCAATCAGTGTGAAAACGCACTGCATCATGTGCTCCTACAGTAGACTCGTACAGAGAGTTTGAAATGCATTCTGTCAGTGAAACACTAGTTGCGCTTTGTTCAGTACGAAAGCAACATCCTGCAAAGAATACGAGTTCCAGCAGTACGTCCCCCGACAGATATACGTATATTATCGATATCTCACAGACGTTTAACAGTGTTTTGTAATAATTAAAAAGAAAGAAAGAAGGAAAGATTTGGACGTAGTATGAGATAGTGTGGATATTTCTTCCTTCATCTTTATCAATATAAAAATCTCTCGGACGATAAACTCACTTGCATATATATATATATATATTTTTTTTTTTTCTATGACGTAAAGGAAGTGCGCATGAGAATAACGACAAGTTTCCTGGGAAGCAGAGCTTCCAAAGAGATAACAGAATTCGTACACGCAAAAAAAGGCAGGAATTACATCCTACTGCTTCTAATCTGAATGTGTTGGTGTATAACACTCAACGGAACGAAGACATCGTAGACAACAGGAGATATCTTCCTTCAGTTAATATATCAATGCCAATAATAGGATTTGTTAATCAAGATCACTCGGTGGCTCCAATTCAATTAATTCAAATTAATTATATCTCAAAAACGAAGAAATACTTGACTTCACAAGAAAACAACATGAATGTTCCAAGAGGGAGTTACGTGTCCGAACGTTCGAAAATCCCTAACTTAACCGATCCGGACATTGCGAATATATTGTCAAAATATCTACTAACAATACAAGAATTGTCTTCATATGGTTTTCCCACGAGGTTGTTGGATCGTGTCATAATTAAGTATAAACCGTATAAGAGAACCAGCAGCTCAGCTGAGCAATCTGATCAAGAGCAGGAAATAGATGATGCAGAGAGTTCAGACAACAATAGCAACGATGAGCTCGCGACGAACAACCAAATAAAATTAATAAAAAGGTCCTGCTCTCGTTGTATAAAAGACTTTTACGTGGATCAAAATGGCAAATGTGTGACTGAAGAAACTTGCTACTATCACTGGGGCAAACGCAAGTATTATAGTTATAACAAGAGTGACGCTCATTGGAGTTGTTGTAACCAGAAAATTGAATCGTGCACCACAGCATGCACCACAGCAAAGCAGCACGTTTGGATTGGCCTTGTTCCTGGAGAAAACGGACCCTATACCGATTTTGTGTTTACCGATTCTTCGCAAGCGAAGGAGAAATCAGTAACTGGTTATGATGGCGTGTACGCATTAGATTGCGAGATGTGCTTCACACAAAACGGTCTTGAGTTGACTAGAGTGTCGGTAGTGAATATGAAAGGAATACCAATCTATAACGAATTTGTGAAACCGAAATTTGAGATTATCGACTACAACAGCAGATTCAGTGGAATTGAAGAAAAAGATTTGAAAAATGTTATCAAAACTCTCGAAGACGTGCAAAGAGATTTGTTACAATTCATAAATGCCAATACAATTTTAATTGGTCACGGCCTCGAGAGCGATCTCAGAGTGTTACGCTTATATCACAACAGAATCATAGATACGAGTTTACTATTTACAAAAGATTCCGGGCATCGCAAAAGTCTTCAAGGTTTGTCTTCCACGTTGCTCAACAGAAAAATACAAGATTCGACGCACGACTCGTTGGAAGATTCATGTGCCGCCATGGACTTGGTGATGAAAAAGCTGAATGAGGACTTAGCGAACCGCGGAAATTCAATACATCTTAGCTCAAGAGAACGCGAGAGACTTCGGGAATACGAAGAAGGTGAACGGGTCAGAAGAGATTTTCAAGAAATCGTTACGATGCGTTGTGAAAACTAAAAAACGTGCGTAACAATTTTATACATAAGAAATTTATATTGACAACGCATAATTTTATTCTTAATGGGTTTTCTTACTACCGGTTAGAAACTGTGATATAGATGTTACACATATAATACTATATAGTGCATTGCGTTTCCTCATCTTGCGTTTTGTTTAAACCCGCGTTTGCACCACCGTTGAAGGACTGCGATTGCTACGGGCTCAACGTTCTCATATACATAATAAATATATACATAACGCGCACACATGACAAACATCATGGAGATCTAGATTCTAGGTAACTGACAAAACGTTTATCGACAATTTCGAATTTATTTTTTATACCTATATATATATACTTTGTTTCTTTTTCATACTCATTCTTTCTTACTTTTATATACTACTCTACTGCTTCACTACTTCTTTCTACTATTTCTTTACTATATCGAAATGTCATTTTTGAATTGTCAGTTTTATCTTCGAACGACGAAACTGTCTTATCTGATCGAACTATGTAATTTTTCGAACGATTGATTTTTATGTTCGACTTAGTATCGAAATCTACCCTCTTTGGTGTGCACGATTTTTTGTACATTTATTTTAAGTATGTTTTTACATTTGTATATGCACGTAAATCAATAACGTTATAAATTTTACATGTATTTAAAAATAATCAATTATCAAATCGTCGCAATTTTTATGGATCGCAATTTTGTACTTGCAAACTATATGTGTACGTTGAAGTCTATATACGTGTTCCACGGTTTTTAATACATACAATTTAATAATTTTGACATATTCTCGTTGTTAATTGATAACAATCATTTTTTTTTTTTTTTTTTATCCATTTATGTCTTCCCACATGTCCTATCATGCGTATTTCATTAAATATCGCAAAGAAGACGCTTGGCGTTATTGATGTTGGTAAGTGTCTCTTCTTTTTTTTTTTTTTTTTTTTCTTCTTCTGTTGTTTCCTCCCCCATCGAGATAAAGTCTGCATTTAAATTCCGCTTGAAACAAAATGACGCTGCAGATATTTTTCCTAAACGATGCTTAATGGCTTGTACCAGTTATATTCACATCGATTGCACGGCAAGATATTTTCACATAATTGTCAATTCAATTTCAAGCGTAATGTATAATAAGATCAAAGCGTGATCTTGCGTGTTACTTTGGTAATTGATATCAAAAATTTTTCAACCAAAAATCAGAAATTTAGCAATTACGTATATTACACGCAGAAAATGAGCAAGAAATTAATAATCGAAAAAACTAAATTGACGCATAAATTTTTTGTGTTATAAAATTTAGAAAAAAAAAAAAAACAAAAAAAAAACAAAAAAAACAAAAAAAAACAAAAACATATCCTCTCTTAATGCATAAAGATGTGCTATTTTATTATGTATTTTTGAAGTAATTGTGTGTGATTGATAAGATTATATTCTTTATATTATAATAACAACATACAAGAGTATGTAGCGAACATTTCACGGACCACGTGTCTTTAGACGGATCATGTTTCTCGTAATGTGTTTTACACGTGTTTTAAAATGATTTTTTGACGCAACACATGTACACACGAAATCACATAGCGATTTATGATAAATAATTCGTGCTTATTACGTAGGAACATACGTATTGATAATCTATTGTTTATTATTACAACATTGACATATCCCATTGCTTGCTTGATGGCAATTACATGCGATTAATCCTATTTTATTCAGTGATTATGTAACATCAGAGTTTCCTACTTTGATCATAACGCGCGATACTTAGTATATATTAGTGAATATTTATTATTTTAAGTCAATAGTACACGTTTGTAAATATTTACTCTTTTAAGAGAACCCCGCAAAAACTGAACAATTTTTATAAAATAGTATTGTAAAATCTATTTTTCTATTTACACATATATTTGTACATTTGTACTATGCGTAGCAGAAAAGATTGCTCGAGCATTGAAAAAAAAAAAGAGAAAATAGAAAATAGAAAATAGAAAAGAGAAAATAGAAATATCTTCGCAAGTGTTGTCACACTATTCCGTATTGTCATCGCTTTTAACTTTTTTTTAGAGTCTTCCTTTATCGTATCGTGCATTGTCGAGGATTGACAATGAGGAGAAACAAGTCAGTTATTTATCTTCACTCAAAAAGATCTCAAACAGAATTTGAAGAACGCTCGATAATAAATCACGACATCGAGGTCAATAATAGAAAATACATAAATTGATTTTTAAGTACATGATGAAATAGATAAGGAAGAAAAAATGTTTTTTATATACGTAAGGAAGAGAAAGTTTCCCGAGACGTATATATTTTTTACTAAAAAATCTTTTCTGCTATGCATAATAATAGTTACTGCAAGATTTCAAAAACCATATATAAGTAGCGTTACACACACACACACACACACATACACACACACACACACAATTATTCGCCCGACGATAAGTAAAACTTATAAAATCCATATGAAATCATATAAAGACGTGTATGAAATAATAATTGCATTTTCTTAGATTTTCCATAGTAATAAAAAACTATGAAATAGTAAGTTTTCTTTTTTTATTTTCATCATATTCTTTGAAAAAAATTTTATATCCATATTAAAATTGAGTGATTCAACACACTTTTATTCTCTTTTGTTATCAATAATTATAAGACTTGGCGAATAATTGACATAACAATATACACATACGACAAAGAAAAGCGAAAGAAAAGCAATCAAACGCTGACTCGCCTTGCGCTTGTTCTCGGCGCAAATTATTGTGATCTCAGTTATGTATTTATGTAATACGTAAATCATTTTATTACATGTCACATATATATGTATATATACATATATATAAATTATATTGTATATATGTCACATATACATATATATATATGTGATGTAATATGTGTGGTTATTATCATAATAATATAAATTTTCTGTACCACTATATTTAACTTTGTACTTGTAATTTTTGAATATTTAACTTTTTTAATGATACTTAACAATATCAGATTTCTATAGTAATTTCTTTTATCAATCTATGTGACGGGCTAAAGACTGTTGAAAAACAACGAAACTTTTAGCGCAAATGATTAATAGATTACCAATGGACGTACAAAGATAAACAAATATTGTAATACAACTTTTTGAAGAAAAATAAAAAATAATTATACTTTTGCGTAAAATATTTGTGTGTGTTTATTCGATTATAACATATTCTTCTATTCCTTTATTTTATCCTTGCGTTGTTCCGTTACCTTATTGACTTACCTTACCCTTACTGCGTTATCTTATTAAGTGATTAACACGTGTAAGAGAGAGAGAGAGAGAGAGAGAGAGAGAGCATATATGCATATGTAAGACGAATTTTATCAGCAAAGAACTATTCCCTTACGAAAAAGAACTACTGGCAATAATATATTGCGGCAGTGGTACGAAAAAATGACTGGCATTCTGTGTAATTGCCAGTAATATTCTCAGTGATTCCTGTAATATCTAATAATATTCTTATGTAATTGTCAGTAATATTTATATTACTGACTTTATTTATATGTAATCGGCAGTAGTTCTTTTTCGTAAGGGTTGACACATACATTTGTCAAATAAAATAACACCAAACACGATATCAAAAAAAATGTCTTGAACGAGATAAACTCTCTCACAGGCAAGAAATATTTAACTAAATTAATAATTGAAAAAAATCAAATAAGCCAATATATCGTAAAAATACGTAAATAACCAAATCATAAATATAAATAAAAATGTAGATAATAGATATCTATATGTTGCAACAGAGGAAATCGTGAGATCACACTTGGAAGAGTCTTTGCAGGTTTGTATTTTGTAAATGTAAAGAGTATTGAAAATTCAATATCGTCTCGTTTAAACGCCGCAATTTTATCGACGAACTCTAATAGCGATATGGACAACGTTTATAGCGGAATCGAGGCTCTTGATTCTCTATAATATTGGCCAATAAGTAATGTTGGAATTTTTTATTAAAACAAAAATAATTTTTTCAATATAAAAAATGTTATTTAACAGTATAGCCGTATTGATCATTTCGATCGATGACTTCATAACATTATTCCTCCAGAATTTTCCATTTCGTCGGCAAAACATTTTGAAACGCATTTAACAAATTTGACATTATCCGGTCCATATTTTTCTCGGTTTACAAAACAAAAAGTTAAAGAGAAAGTCAAAAGAAAACGATTCGTCTCGGGTTATATATACAAAATAGAATAAGGAAGAGAAAAAAGTGCCAGAGAAAAAAAAGGTAGCAGGAAAAGGTGAAAAGAAAACCACACAAAAGGCGACCCTTCTCATCTTACATCCCGCAATAAATCAACTAGAATTAATAGACAACAGGTAACGTATTCGTTGGAAAAACATTAAAAAAACGAATTCTTTTTTATTAAAATTTCTAAAGAAATTTATAGTTCTTTTTGAACCGGATATATAGTTTATTTTCTTCATTGAGACAATAAATGTGACAGGTTAACAAAATAAATTGTTAAAAATAACTCAGAAAGAATCGAAGCTTTTGTCGATATTATGTCTTTCGACCGTGTTCAATTGACCGTGGAAAACAAATAAAATTCGATTGTCTACGTTTCAGAATTTTCGAAAAAACCTTGAATGAAAGTGAAACACAAAATAAAATAAACATAAAATAAGATGGCAAAATTTAAAAGTGAAAAACGTATTAATAACCGAAAGTAATGAATTAGAAAATGTATCTGCGTAAAAGCAATGTGTGTGTTTCCCGTCCAGTGTTCACAGTTTTAGTTTCCTTACAGCATGCTGAAGCGGTGGAAGGGATACGTAACAATATCAGCGAGTTTATGCAGGTAGAATTCGATGCTGTCTTCCCTTTTCAGCATGCTGTAAGGAAAGCCAAACCTGTGAAACATTTTGATTCTGTCCCTTCTCTTAAAATAGAACGGATATATAGGTCCAAGGCTTAACGACCTTATTTTTTAAAATGTCACCGTAATTACCTTATTCGTTTAGCTTGTGATCAGATATCGCTAGCGATACAAACGATAAGAATGCCTCTACGAACTCGAACAAGCATCTGTGCAACATTCGAAAAACGATTAATTTGTCGTTAAGTGAGAATTCTGGATTCTTCTTTTTTTTTTTTTTTTTCATTACTTCGCTAAACATTTATACGTGCTATTTATTTTTATACGTGTGTACCCTTACGAAAAAGAACTACTGCCGCTTACACCCTTACGAAAAAGAACTACTGCCGATTACGTGTAAATAAAGTCAGTAATATAAATATCACTGACAATGACATAAGAATATTATTAGATATTACAGGAATCACTGAGAATATTACTGGCAATATTACACAGAATGCCAGTAATTTTTTCGTACCACTGCCGCAATATATTACTGCCAGTAATTCTTTTTCGTAAGGGCATATAAATAAAGTCAGTAATATAAATATTATTGTGACAATCACATAAGAATATTATTAGATATTACAGGAATCACTGAGAATATTACTGGCAATATTACACAGAATGCCAGTAATTTTTTCGTACCACTGCCGCAATATATTACTGCCAGTAGTTCTTTTTCGTAAGGGTATATCTACACACATGTAAATAGAATATAAAAAGATTTGTCTAATTCAACTGATTATTTCTGTTTTGCAGCGTTTATCACGTTAAAACAACACTAGTTTTTTTTTTTCTACCGATCTCGTTGTGTTTTTAAAGAAAACAAAATTAGCGCGTCATAACGACGACGCATTGACGCAAAAGCACGATGTAGTTTTGAATATTTATGTTAGAAACACGTTTGTTATCGAGGATTTGAATTTCACTAAGAATAACAATAAGTTTTTATTTGTCACATACAAACTTGTTTCGAAATCTTATGATACATAAAATCATGGTGTGTACTTGTTGCGATAAAACGAGATTTTCACTCCGGCAACAATACACGTATCTCTTGTACCAGCCACCAATGTTTGCCTGTAAAAATGCGACGTAAAAATAATCCAATTATCGCTGATAACTAAATAATCGCTGATAACTAAATAACACGTTCGCGGATAATTATTTCGATATCCGGTCGTATTACGTGCTCGACAATATCGGTTGGTTTGTCAGAAGTTCACGTTTTCCCTTTCTTTTTTTTTTTTTCGTTTAACGGCACAAAGACGATGAAGAAGAAGAAAGAATTTGAAATTTTACACCGATCGCATCAATGCCGTCTCATCATCATGGTAACACGTGTTGCAATCCGCAAACAAAAGCGGCAAACGTCCGTGACTTCTGTGTGTGTGTGTGTGTGTGTGTGCGGTCTTCCGCACACACATGTTGAAAGATTTCTCAATCAACCTCGGCCCTCCGTGTCCGTTGTTGTCTCTAGAATATTTATTAGTTCCTATCTGGATTCGACCGAGAGACACGAGACGACTAAAATTTTCCAAAAATAAATGTAATACAATCGGTATGAATCTCGTCTCACACTCGAATGGTGGCAAAATGCGTTTTCGCAGTTTCTCCGTTTAAGAAGAAACATATTTCGTCACGTAGAAAAAGCTGCTTGCAACATAAAAAAGCGTAAATTATATAAAATATAAAGTAAATCTAAATTTAATATCAAGATAGAGAAAAAAAATCGTCAAAAAGAGAAAGTTTGATCGAAAGATAGGAAAATTGTACCGTGTCCCGTAACGAAACAAACATCCATAAAAATCTCATTAACGTTTCTATTAGATATCTATTAGATATCATATCTTTTAGATATGAAGTTATGCGAAGTTGTCTCACTGCGAGCCGAACTTGATATCGCTTAATATATACTAATTTGAAAATTTTTAATCTCGTCAGATACGTCTTTTCGTTTTCGAACAAATATCTACGAATGACAAAATATTTGATACTTTTGTTATAAAAAATAATGTCATTATAAGAAATAATGACAAAATGACGAGGTAAAACTTATTTAATATTATATATATATATATATATATTAAAAGATAATTTACAAATATATATATATATATATATATATATATATATATATATTTGTAAACTAATAAATATATATTCGGTCATAGGAGCCGTTCGCTAGGTGTTGTGCGGAAATTATACGTGTATATATATATCCATATATACGTGTTCACATGTTTAAATTTTTACACGTGAAATTCAAATTGAAATAACAATTCTAAAATTCATATTGGATGCTATACTTGCATCTCGTATATAAGAAATCCCAAATACCTCCCTAATTGAAATTAAATTTTCCGCACAACACCTAAGCGAACGGCTCCTATGACCGAATATATTATGTCTGTTCGTTTTACCTGAGAACTGGCGCCGCTCTAGGTCAGAGTTTATCCTTCTTTTTCCAACGTAGAGTAAAGAAGATAAACTCTGACCTAGAGCGGCCAGTTCTCAGGTAAAACGAACAGACATTATATTTATTGGTTTAGAAACTTCAGAGCCTGAAAAGATTCTTTAATATATTTGTGTGTAAATTATCTTTTGAAAAACCGCAAATAATCATATCTCATTCGTAAAATAAGATGTTTACACTATTGTTTGTGTGTGCGTGTTAACTTTTGTTTGATTTCGTTATCAAGGAGCAACGATCTTTATCGGTTAGTCACGATGCTGCTTACTTCGTTACTCATAAATACGCATTATTTAAGGAAATTTCAAGATAACGAATTTATTTTCAACAAGATAATTTTTTTTCTATTATATCAAAAAACAGAATAACGCTCGTTTTCACCGTCTCCGATTAACTTAATCGGCCGATTATTCCATTTGAAATCGCCAGTCGCGTTAATCGTTTTAGCCGAATGAATCTAATCACGACTGATACTTAATCGTCGATTAAGTTAATCGGAGATAATGAAAACGGGCGTAACAGTTTACTTGTAACTTTCTTTTCAAAACCGCGTTCGATTTCTGCTCTACATCTGATTGACAAAGCCAAAAAATAAGACCGATCGAATCGAATAGAATTCTATTTAACAAACTGTGAGATGCGACTTTCTCCGACTGTATATCATACGTAGATCTCTTCGAACTATGTATGTACATGTACCGGATACACATGCGATTCTGTGCGACGGCAATGATTTTGTTTCGTACAAAAGCGAGTTTTTGTTTGTTCCCGGACAAATTTAAATTTAATAAATTAAAGAATCTTTTAAGGGGCTCCGAAGTTTTCCAAACTAATAAATATATATATATATATTCGGTCATGAGAGCCGTTCGCTAGGTGTTGTGCGTAAATTATACGTGTATATATATACATATATATACGTGTTCACGTGTAAATTTTTTACACGTGAAATTCGAATTGTAATAACAATTCTAAAATTCATATAGGATGCTATATTTGCATCTCATATATGAGAAATCCCAAATACCCCCCTAATTGAGAATACAATTCGAATTTCACGTGTAAAAAATTTACACGTGAACACGTATATATGTACACGGAAAAAAAAGTTTTGCTATTATATAGTCAGCAAAAAAAAATGGTTGATCCTACGAAATTTTTTGTTTCATCAACAAAATATTTTGTTGGCAAAACAAAAATTTTACTAAACTTAACAAATGTTTTTTTGCTGGTCATATAGTAACTAATTTCTTGCTATTTTAGCAAATCTTTTTTTTCCGTGTATATATATACACGTATAATTTACGCACAACACCTAGCGAACGGCTCTCACATGACCGAATATATATATATTTATTAAATTTAATATAATTGTTTGAACAAAAATTCTGCACGTGTAACGTCACACGAGCAACGAAAGTGCAATTTTGTCATATTTACATATACACATGTATATAATTGGACCGTTTATTTTGAAAGTGGTGTAAGTAGTCCATTTTCTTTTGTTTCGAGAAACTAGTTATACATAAAAAATTTACATTAAATTAAGCGTGAATTAAGTGATATCTCATTTTTTTTTTCAAAAATGGACTTACACCACTTTCAAAATAAACGGTCCAATTATGTATATGTGTACACGCATATATATTCTTCGCATTCCTTAAAACACTTCACGCTTTTTTCACACATCCGTTCTTACTTCTTGTTTTATGCAATTGACAACAATATATTGCTTGGCAATGATGATCCGTTGACCGAGAGGATGCAGGTCAGGGAGAGGAACTATTTTCCCGCCCCCCTGTTCAATCGTCACTACGATTGAACACTTTTTGATTAGCTGCTTACGATTTAATTTAGAGATCTTCCGTACGCTTATAATTAATTCAGAAGAGAGAAGATAATCGGAACGAACGAAAACTCGTCTGATAAATAGTTTTACGTTGTGTGAGCATAGACGTATAATATATATACCCTTACGAAAAAGTACTGGCAGTAATATATCGCGGCAGTGGTACGAAAAAATTACTGGCATTCTGTGCAATTACCAGTATATATTCTCAGTGATTCCTGTAATATCTGATGATATTCTTATGTGATTGTCAGTAATATTTATATATTACTGACTTTATTTATATGCAAGACCTGGTTTATGCGGGCCTAAGATTTTAATATTTCTGTTTATTAACATAAGCGTAACAGAATATAACAGAAGCATTGAAATCCTCCCTTACGAAAAAAAATTACTGGCGGTAATATATTGCGGCAGTGGTACGCGAAAGAATTACTGGCATTCTGTGTAATTGCCAGTAATATTTTCAGTGATTCCTATAATATCTAATACTATTCTTGTGTTGATTGTCGGTAATACTTATATTACTGACTTTATTTATATGTAATCGGCAATAGTTCTTTTTCGTAAGGGCTATAATTGAACCGTACCAATTACGGCATAAATTAACAGTTATTACCCGCATGAACAAGGCCAAAACAAGGCCTTATTTGCCGGCATAAACCAGGCCTATAATCGGCAGTAGTTCTTTTTCGTAAGGGTAGACTACGCGTTTGGCTGAAAAGATGTCTTCAACGTTGAGAGAGACAACATACTTTGAATAGCAACTCTTTCTCTGTCTATCAATGTCTGTGGTGGGATCAGGGCCCCCTCCCCTACTGTTTCATACCACCTAAACCTACCATCACCCCTTAATCTCTTTCACTCCCACTATTTTTCTATCCCCACTTTTCCATCTACTATTCTATTAAATAGCGAAGACTTCTTTTTTCCCCACTACTTCGCTAGACAAAGATGAGGCTACTATTCAACACCAGCTGTCTCTCTCAACGTTGAAGACATTTTCTTAACACGGCAAAGGTAGGGAACGCGCGGTCTATATATTATAACGTCTATGGTTGCGAGAAGAAAACAGGTAGAGCGGTGACATTATCGACACGACGCGGTTTGTGGACAAGCGATTGCTTTTGACAGTTAGTTGGTGCAGCGCTCGTTGGCGCTTATTTACCGCTAAGAAAATTGTCCTTTTTGCCCTTAAAATCCTTGCGCCTAAGATCGCAAAATTTTTGGCACGAACTCTGTGTGAGCACAATAGCGAACATCATGGATGTGTCATTGGTGTTGAAATGTTTTAAATAAATTCTGTTGTTTATTAATTTGTCTCATTTTTGAGATTTTTATTAATCGGTGTGCAACAATTTTAGATTTATACGGAATATTCATTTCTTTAAAAAGTGATCGAAGAGTGCGATCCGACGGTGTCGCTTCGACGAATCTGTACTTGAAGAGAGTCAAAATATTAGGTTAGATCGTAAACTTACAAAAGTGAATATACATGTGTGTATCTTGAACATTGAGCGACTAAAAGATGTTGGACTGTTTGTAGCATATAACTTCAAATCGTGAATTTTCACACGTTCTTTCACCGTTAAACATATATATATATATATATCGACTCTTGTGTAAAAATGTCGAACGAAAATAGAGGACCTATTCCGTCTCGTTGGCTTCACTGCCCGCGCAAGGCTATGAAGTTGATCCAGAACAAATTTTTAGCATTCAAAACGCCCTTGTGCTCGGCTTATGACGGCCAAGTGCCCGAGGAATGTCGCTTCAACGTCGACATGCTCTTCCAATACCTGAAAAGTCAAAAAATGAAGATGGGTTTGTGGATAGATTTGACGAATACAACCAGATTCTATGATAAACAGAGTATAGAAAATAATGACTGCAAATATTTGAAACTGCAATGCAGAGGTCACGCTGAGACTCCCTCAGAGGAACAGACTCGTACGTTTGTGCAACTTTGCAAGAATTTTATTGCACATAATCCGTTAGACATAATTGGTGTACATTGTACACACGGTTTCAACAGGACTGGATTTCTCATAATCAGTTATCTAGTAGAAATAAATAATTCTAGTGTTGACGCCGCGATAGCAGAATTTGCTACCGCAAGACCTCCTGGAATTTACAAAGGTGATTACATAAAGGAGTTGTATAGGCGGTACGATGACGAGGAAGATGCTCAACTTCCACCTGCCAGACCGGCATGGTGTCTGGAAAGCGATGACACCGAGGATACGGATGAAGGACCAAGCACGGAGGATAAAAATGGCCATCAAGAAGAAAGAGGAAAGAAAAGAAAACGTGAATATATGAATAAAAATCCCGTATTTATGGCTGGTATACCTGGCGTTACTCCTGTAAACGAAAGAACAAGACTGTCGGGAATACAGAAACGAGTTCAGGAAATTTGTGGATGGACATCTACAGGATTCCCTGGATCTCAGCCGGTATCAATGGGTGTAGAGAATATGACATTGTTGCGCGAAAAGCCATATCGAGTATCCTGGAAAGCAGATGGAACGAGGTAAAGAAAACAATCGATGTAAAAATTTGTATTCAGGCGGAAAGAAAAATCTTGAAACTCAACCAGTTGTTTTACTTTAGGTACATGATGTTGGTACAAGGAGATGGAGATGTGTACTTTATAGACAGAGATAATAGCGTCTTCCAAGCAAATGGTTTGATCTTTCCACATGTTCGAGAAGACAGATGTCTGAGAGATACTCTAATGGATGGTGTAAGTTTATATACATTACGTTAACTACGGTTTTAAGAACCATGTAAAAAAAAAAAAAAAAAAAACATTACAATTTTAACTTTTTGCGCTTAAAATGTAAATTTGCACAAAAATTTTGATTAATTTTCAGGAAATGGTGATCGACAAGGACAAAGGCAAAGATATTCCTAGATATTTAGTATACGATGTTGTTATGTATGACGGGCAAGATGTCAGTAAATTGCCATTTCATCCCGATCGTTATTCTATTATTGAGAATAAGATAATAGCTGGTAGGCTAAGGGCTATGAAAGAAGGACGACTGATGAAGGAACGAGAACCATTTTCTGTGCGTTTGAAATATTTCTGGGATGTGACATTGAGCAAGAATCTGCTGAGTGAAAAATTTGCCAAACAACTTTCTCACGAGCCGGATGGTTTGATATTTCAACCTGCTAAAGAAAAATATTGCACAGGAGTATCGCGAGAGGTGTTGAAATGGAAACCGGTATCGTTAAATTCGGTAGATTTTCGTTTGAAAATTGTCACGGAATCAGGAGTTGGAATTGTACCGCGCAAAGTTGGACATCTTTACGTGGGCGGACTGAAGACGCCGTACGGTACGATTAATAAAATCTCGAGGCAGCTCAGGGACTTGGACAACGCGATTATCGAGTGCAAATTCGAACACGGTCAATGGGTTTTTATGCGTCAACGTACGGACAAGTCGTTTCCTAATTCCTTCGATACCGCGGAGTCTGTGTGCAAAAGCATCTGCAAACCGGTTACGAAAGAGCTGCTCTTGGATTACATTGACAAATACAGATTTGTACAGAACGATACGGATCTTATGCCACCACCCAAACAAAGAAGACTTAATTAACCTCCTAAACATATACGATATGTATTTACATGATATATTTCGTGTTATTAAAAAACAAAGCGTAATAGAGATTTGCATATGTTTAATTAGAAACTTAAAAAAAAAACAAAGTTCTCAAATGGTTGTCAAATCAATTTGATTCAAAACACTCAGAATGCAGTTAATAACAATCGTGTGAATGAAATCATGGAATTTTATAATTTTGAATGTAAATAACTATTATAATTGATTTTTCAAATCATTACAAACATTGAAATAAATATAGATTTAATCATTCGTATGTTACATTATTTGCCACCAATAATAAACAAAAATGTGTATAATAAAAAGTTTATGTAAAAATAATAGGGGAACCATATTTATCTCACATTTTTTATAATTTACTTTGTAATGTACGATAACATCATTCTTAGCTAAAATTATTGTTTCGTCATATTTCAGTTGACTTCTTTTGTATATACAGTGGTAATAAATGTAAGCTACATTATACCGAGTTAAATAAAGAAATTTTCTAATAAAATATATCCAAGTTGCGTGCTTAATCAATACTTACCCTTTCGAAATCTTTCGATTAAGAAATAGCTATGATAAGAAAAAAGCAATTTTTTAATACTTTTTTCTTATACAAACTTCTTGCACGTCTATTTCTCTTTTTCTCTTACAAGGTCGCGAACCTCGGGTACGCCGATTTCAATAAGGTTTTGTGTTGTTGTATAATAGAAGAATACTTGAGCAAAGGGATAGGGCGCACCTCTCAGCCATTTTCGAGAAAACTCGATTATATAATTTAAATATATAATTAACTATATAATTTAAATCGAGTTTTCTCGAAAATGGCCGAGAGGTGCGCCCTATCCCTTTGTTCAAGTATTCTTCTAATAGAGTACTATACAACAACAAAAAACCTTATTGAAATCGGTGACCCGAGGTTCGCGACCTCCTCTTGTTAGATAAATTAAAATATGTGTATATATAATGCTGTAATTATATAACTCATAAAACGTCACTCTGTAAATCAACTCGTAATAATAGAAATGGCACCTTTACACGATTTTCTGTTTGGTTTATAGATCGTACAGTGCTATTGTGGTACACGAAAGATTTCACAGCGAAAGATCGCAAATCTCTGCGCGTTAATATAGAATTCGATCACGCAACTCTAATACGCTGGTCTCCGGATGGAAAAGCTTTTATTATTCACAAAGCTTTGGCTAATACGATCGAGGTATACAAGATCACGAAGAAACCTGACGGTCATTTGGCGTCTGCAACCAAGGCACTGGAGTTTCCGCAGGTATAATGATAATTTAGCATTTATGTATGTGTGTATGTATGCGCGATTAAAATTATCATTTCTCTTATTGTTGCTCATCTCTCATCATCTGACAGAGAACTGAAGTTTTGTGAATATACAAATATAATATTGTTATTTAACAGTGCTGAAGATGATCAACAATAAAAATGATGACACACTGTAGTTTTTTACGTTTCGAATTGAATGTCTACCTTCTTCTTGGACCAGAGGCTCCGCGCGGGTTTTTGCCATTCTTTTGATTGTCTCTCATCGAGCCGTTTATTTAATTTTATTACAAATATAATAAAATATAAAACACACCGCACAAAAGTTTAATATTACTAAAAACACAATCGCTATAAAAAAATATATATAATTAATTAATTAAAGAATCTTATAAGGCTACGAAGTTCCCAAACTAATAAATATATATTTGGTCATGAGAGCCGTTCGCTAGGTGTTGTGCGAAAAATATATATATATATATACCCAGATAGCCAACTGAGTGCAAGTTGTTGGCAATTTGTCACAAATATTACCCATATGTTTTCAGCAGTGTAACAAAAGGGTGTATCCTCTTTTCAGTATGTTCTTGCCAGCAACAGTTTTTCAAAATATAACAACAGCAAGTTCTCAACAACTCATCGGCAATAAACTTATATTATTTTTCTCAACTTGTGAATAAAAAATTATTGCTCATATATTGCTCACATATTGCTGACTCACATGTATCATAAACATTGGCTACAACAATCGATTGATAATAAAACTCAGCGTATATGATACTGAAGTGACAAAAACATTTTCGTTGCATTAAATAAAAACAACACAACGGCAATTGGCGAACAACTTAATCTATACAACAATTTGCTTTATATTGAATTTTCACATTTGGCTATCTGGATATTTTCTATGCGTTCTATATAATTATTTTTTTCTCCTCACACAGCGTCATACCGAAGACGTCGTCGGAATGGACATAGCGTGCACCGGAAAATACATAATCACGTGTAGCAAAGCAAACGATCTTGTTGTATGGGATTTAAAAGGACAACCATTGACAACCATAGAGCTGCATCTTGGATCTACCTATCGCGCGCGTATATCACCTTGCGGCCGATTTGTTGCTGCCTCTGGTAAAAAATGATACAAATAATTTTGTTATTAACCGAGGGTTTTAATTTACTTAAAACCCAACACACAAACATAGATTGTAATAGAATCGAAATACATAAATAATAAATGTGTACATTTTTGTGCAAGGTTTCACACCGGATGTGAACGTATTTGAGGTGGTGTTCAACAAATCTGGAGAATTCAAACATGTGGCTAAAGCGTTTGATCTCGGCGGGCACACGTCCGGAGTGTACGACTTTGGTTTCAACGCGGACTCCAGTCGCATGGCTACCGTGTCGAAGGACGGAACGTATCGCTTCTACGACACGAAAAGTAATGTTTTTTTTAATATTTTTTTGTTAACAATCCCGAGCAATATAAAAACGAAATCTTTACGCATTGTATGTATATATGTATATATGTCTTTTCAGTCGAATATGAGAAAGGTGAAGATCCGCACGTTTTAATGACCGGAACGTGGGACACCGCGACTCCGGCAAGCCTTGTTCTTTCTCCAGACGCGGATGTTTTGGTAATTGCTCACGGATCATCCGTATCCTTTTATTCGACCATCACTGGCGCTCTGGATACCACCATAGACGACATCTTTTTGGGTACTTACTGTTGTGTGTTATACATAATTCTCTCTCAGAGTTCTCTTTCTCCCTCTCTTCCGCACGTGTGTGAGGATTTTAATTAATTAAATGTGTTTCATTATAAATTCTTACAGGACCCATAACGTGTTTAACGTTCGACGCGATGGGAGAATATTTATTGGTTGCGGGTGACAAACACATTCAGATCTTTCGTAACGTTACCGGATACCGAACTGCAATAGAATCCGCTAAACGCAAATTGGAGCAGAGACAGACGCAGGCAACGAAGGAACGCCTTGAGAAATTGATTCGCGACAATAAGGAGCTGCTTGAAAAGATTGGAGAGAAATGTCCATAAAAAAGAAAAAAAATTATTGACATGCTCTTTCCTGTTACTTTTATGGTGCAACAAAAACTACCGGCTACGAATACAATAAAAATTATTTTTGAGAGTCTAATACTTTCTATATTGTGTAAATAATAATAATAATAATAATAATATACATGAAGGAATTTGCCTATTTTTTGCCAAAATAAAGGTAATTTTCATACGCATTGGATCTCTACAAACGTTTGTTTTTTAACATTGCGCCACAGGTTTTCAGAAAATAGTGTACAGATATATATATATATATATATATAAAAACATATCTACGTATACGTGCGCGTCGAAACTCTGTACAAGCAATGTTGAAGAAACAAAACTGTTCTTTTATAATACTTCATCCTATTTTTATTTCAATTTCTAGTTTCAATAGTTTTTTTTTTTTTTTTTTTTTTCTACTGCGTGCGTTTCTGATATTATTCAAGTTCACACAAATATGAATCACCACTCGCGTGATCTACGCGTAGTAGAATATAAATAAAACAGAGCAGATTGCGCGAAAATAAAAACAATTAGTTTTTATTTACCGCAGATATATGTGATATATATTATTTAATTAAAAAATGTGTGTGCTAAATATATTAAACAGAACTACGGTCAATTCTCTATATTTGCGCGGACTGTAGGGGAAGAAAAAGCATATATATATATATCAAGTACCCCTTCTTTGCCTCCATCAATCACACTGGAGTGAACCTAACTCAGCGGAACCAGCGACATGAGCTTGTCGCGTTGTGGAACAGAGCGCAGCAGAAGGGGAACTTATGTGTGGTAGTTTGAATATATGTGAAGGGGAACGCAATCTGGGGTGCGTTCGTTTTTACGCGCTTTAAGCGCGTCACAACCTGTCTTTATTGTTGTTTAAATATAGAATAAAGACAGACCGACGCTCAAAGCGCCTAAACCCACACAGAACAAAAACTCCATTAGATGTCTATTAGACGTCGACAGCTCCACGCGACATCTAATAGATGTCTGTACGGGAAGCGAACGCACCCATGAACAGTTGACTGTATATGCAAATTTTAAAAATCTGAGCAAGATAAAATATCTCGAAAAAAAATATATATAAAAATGACAATAGAATCAGGAAAACAGTAGATCGTGGATTGTCATATACATTACAGATCTGTTTAAACAAATTTTATTTTTTTTTTTCCCCGTTATTTTTTGACTACCATGGTGTCCAAGGAGGATAATTACAAGTTATTAGATTCCCGTATTGAGACGTACACACGGAATTGGAGAATCGTACTCGCGTGTTCGTATAATTTTTATATCTTCGTAAGTTGCGTGCTATCTTTTTTTTTTCTTTTCTTTTTTTTTTTCTTTTTTTTCTGGACAAGAAAATGTGTGACTTTCTATTAACAAACTACAAAAACTTTCTATATATAATAGATAATTTATATACAAAATAGTATCCTTGGCATCGTGAGTTGTTTGCAGACTGCAAAAATCTCGGCAATAGAACGGTGTGCGGATCGCGCATGATCACTTCCCGTTCGAGAACACGATTTTGTGTAATAAGATTTCCGGATAAAGTGTTTGACACTCGCGCGCGGTGAACATACAATACGTACGTAAATGTACGTCTACTTAAAGAATATAATCTAAGTGTGTGTGTGTGTGTGTGTATGTGTATGTGTGTGTTGTTGTACTCCTACTAATTAGGCTATCAAATTTACAGATTCGAATTGCTTTAGAACTGTGTACTTATTTTCTCGTTTTACAAAAAAAATTTATTGCTACACAGTAACAAGTGTAAAGCAGTTTTTTTTTTTTTTTTTTGGTTGTTCTCTAGTCGCAATGAACAATTTTCTTAATTTTTTAAACATTGTTCCGATTCTTCAAGGTTTTCGGATGAACATGTTTTCCGGAAATAAAATTTTTTGTTTCGCGTACGCCACACTGTACATCACGTGTATTACAAAACCTTCAGTGAGATATTATAAGACAGAATCTTACAAACTTAAAATGCAAAAATACACAAATATTCATTGAAATCAAATGTTGATATAAACTTTATCGTTGGTGTCACATTTAGTGCGTTACAGTTTATTGCGCTACATTATATGCATCAGAAGATCAATTAAAATGATCGATTCTCAAAAATTCAGATATTTTTTTTTTTAATCGAAAAACAGTAAAAAATAATAGTTCCACAAGAACAAGAACAACTGTTCTATCGAGTAGTACCTCGTTAAGCGTAAAATTTTAATACCCTTTGCACTCGAGCGGCGCCAGGCCGATTTGAAGCGTCAACTCGAGCGGCGCTGCTACGGCGCCCGGGAGGTTTGACGCGTCCAGTCGAAATAAATAAATTGATGAAATTTTATATGCTTCTCTAATATAGCCAAAATCGTCTCGAGTTCGCGCGAGCGAAAAAGGCCTCGAGTGCAAAGGGTTAAATTCTAGAAAAAATTGCTTAACAATCCAAAGTAGATTGGCTTGATTTTACATAGAACGATGAAACCTCGGCGCACGATATCTTGTTTTCATGCTGACTTGCACTATGATTTCTTGACAATTCTCTGATCTTCGAATTATGACTGGTTAATTCTGATGCACGAAAAAAAAGCACCTATGTCGCAGACTTAAGTTACGAATTTATCTCAACTGTTTGGGAGAAATAGCATAAGAAATGCCAATGCCTAAAAAAGAATGAAGAACAATTGAACAAGAAAGATTTCATTTTTTTTTTCTTAACGAGATACCACTGTAATTTGATAGCAAATATTAGTTATAACTTAAGTGTAAAGCACACTTATATATGTCGCACAAATGTTTTAGAAATTACTTTTGTGTAACAACAAACGCAATACGTATATTTCACGTTTGCGTTACCGTTACTCTCAGCAATAAATTCTCACGGGCTTTTATTAATTAAATATATAATTATATTTTTAATGTATTTTTTTTTTTTTTTAAGATCTACAATGTGTGTGTGTTTAATGATAATATATCTGGCACTTAATGGCAGATTACTCGGTACTATAAAAGCCATTTTTCAATTTTTTTTTTGTTCATTATGCAAAATTTGAAGTGACGCAAAAATCTTCAATCTAAAGAAGATCCCTAAACATGATGAATGTGTGTTTATGCAAGATTTTAAGTGCTTGTCTTATTAACTAATTGAAGATTCCACCACACATTATCACATCGAGTGAAAAAAGTTACAAAATCGAGTCTTGATCACTTGGTTTTGTATTTTGGATAAAATTTTTTGTTGGTAGATTTCTTTTTTTTTTTCCTCCCCCCCCCGTTCGACGTGTCACTAATTGCGCGTGCACGCACATGTGAGCGTGAGGTGAAGTTTAAAAAAAAAAACTTATTCGCGTCGGGATATCGTCTACTACAGTAAGATATAGCGCCATTTATTTTTTCTCCTTGTCTATTTCAGCAATTTCCTTTTTCACAGAAAGCTTATTGTCAGTTTTCTTGTCTTTGTCCCCATCCACGGGTTCTTTCTTCACCTGGACCTTATCTCCCCACCTAGTGTCAATTTTACATTTGCTCTCCGTCTCGGAACCATTTATATCCCCACTGACCTTTTCGTCTTGTATTTCAACAATCTCAACTTTTTTTGTATCACTCTGCATCATTTTTGCCGCTATGTGATATATATTTTTTACCGCGGTCACGTAAGTATGACAATCAGTCTGTAAAGAAATGTGAAAATAATTATTGGAAATAAAATATAAAAGTAATGTAAATTTTAAAAAGCTTATCTTCAAACAAAAATTTATATAACAAGATATACTCACAGACATCTTCTTGAGTTTTTCTTCCGTGTTTCGCAATTTATCTTTATACATTTTTAGATCTTCCGAAAGACCTTTCAAATTGTTTGTTTGCTTTGTGGATTTCTCGTTGACCGCAGTTAGCTCGTGCTGTAATTCCATCATACGATCTTCGGTGTCTAAGCGTGCTTTTTCAGATCTTTTCAATTGACTGACAAGTTTTTCAACATCCAACAAGGAGCCTTTGTACATAACGATACCTTCCGGAATCGTTTCTCCGTCGTTTCTTTCCATGACACAGTCCTCTCTTCGTGCTCTCTTCGAAGGCGGTCCACTTCCCACGAATACAGGTAATAATTTTTTATTACCTGTAAGCACACACACACACATATTTTAATAATAATGAACATTAGTGTCTCTGTGTAAACATATATATATATATATATGTGTACATATATGTACATTTACATCAAAAACGTTAAACAATATTTCCTTCACATTACCAAGAGCGAGCGAACGTAAAATGTCCTCTTCGTTATCCGTCTTGGTCGATTCACCTTTATCGCTCTCTTTGTCATCTTTCTTCTCATCTCTCGCGTCATCTTCTTTTGATCTGTCTGTTAATTTGCGATAATGTAAGGAATCTCTCGTGACTACTTTTTGTACTAGTTTTCGCACTTGAGCTCTAGATAAATTCAATCCCAGAGTATAAATAAGTTCCTCGATATCTTTATCAAATATGTATCCGCAATGGGTCTGATCGAAATAAACGAACGACAATAGAAGATAAGGATCGTGCGTGTAGAGCTTCACTTTCCTCTTCTTTCCGTCTTTATCTCTGTCTTTCCTGCTGTCTTTTACAGAATCGTCGTCCTGTAGAAATCAAATTTTTAATTTACATTGCAAACATATCAATATGTTATTGTTATCGTATACTTCACACACACACACACATACAACGATTCTATTTGCGTTACAACAATATGTATTTTTTAAACAGTTAGAGATAAAATATTTTCACACGCAAATAAAAAATTATATAGAAAAACTTAAAATAGACAAATTCTTACTTCTGACTCATCATCTTCGTCGTCCTCCTCATCATCCTTTTCTTTTTCCTTATCATCAACTTTATTTTTCGCGTCTTTGTCATCTTTCTTATCTTTGACCTCATCCTTTTTCTTGTCATCCCGCTTTTCATCTTTTTTACTGGACTTTTTGTCATCCTCCTTTCTTTTATCGTCCTTTTTGTCATCTCTTTTGTCATCTTTCTTATCTTTCTTCTTGTCTTCATCCTTCTCCTTAGATTTCTCAGGGAGACTGGACAGTGAACGATAAATGCGAAAACCGAAATCTCGCATCAACATTTCGTTAAATAATTCAGCAAAGAGAGATACTTCGAACGAATGTTCCTACATATATAAAAGATTTATGTGCACACATATGTAGCGTTTTTTTTTTTTAAATAACAAGCAATATAACAGGTTTCAAAATAAAGAAATACCTTAGTATCTTCCGGTCTGTAATCCAATAGCACACTCAAAGACATGACTGTGCAGTCGAATTTTCCGCTTTTGGCTGTTCTAGAGGGATGGACTATAATATGCGAAGAATCGGGTAGAGTATATTTCTTCTCGAGAGCGGCGCGTTCGCGTTCGTACAGTTTTCTCTTATCTTCGTCATGCTGTAAAAAAGATAAAATGTAGGATATTATTTATTAAACTGTTTATAAAACACACACAGTCTTGTATTCAGTGTGTTCATGAGTAAAAATAAATAAAAATTGTGTAATCTCGCGCATATTAAACTTTTCTTACCTCTTTACTATCTCTAAATTTTTTATCGTCCTCTTCCTTCGACGGTAATGAGATATCTTCTTCGTTGTCGTCCCCTTCGTCCTGCCGACCTTCCTCCTTGGCCTGCTCGGACTTCACAGCCTTCAACAGTCGTGCTAACAGTTGAGACTTCAAGCCTTTTGCACTCAGATTGCGAGCCACCAGTTCTTGACGCAGTTCATTCACCTGTATTAAAAAAAAAAACAAACATTTTATTTTATAATTAATTAATAATAAAAATAAATTATACAGATTTATTTATTATTTAAATACTAACATTCATCGACTTTGGATCTAGCTCGGAGTAGTGTGTAGGATCTTTCTTCTCGGGCATAGAATCATCCTGAAAGTAGAACGTGCGTGTTAGTAAACATAAAAGTAAAAAAGCCCAGAGAGAAAACTACAAAACAGAAGCAGCTCCTATAACGAAACGAAACCAATCCCTCTTCATTCTTTCATCACACTCTCTATTTTTTCTTTTTTTTTTTTGTTTGTTTTTTTTTTTAAATTTTTTTTCAACACTCTCTCACATTTTAACACGATATACACAATCTTCATTCACGATGACCGTCACATATGACTCAAGTAACTGCTAGAATCTCATAGTGTCCTGGCTCTGGTGTCTGTGTGATCGGTAGGTTATGGATAATATCAATAATGTTGTAATACAAACGATGATTATAAAATGAGACTTTGGAATAAAAATTTTTCAATGACGGTGAAGGTTTTACGGGAAAGGGAATGGCTCAGCTGCGCTCTTCTCCGAGCTTAGGCTTGCTTGCTTCTCTTGTTAATGCAATATTGACTGCCATTAGCTAAAGAAGCGATACTTTACCCGTCGATCCTCGTTTGCGACATTTATAGAAGCTTAAAGAACTATATAAAAAGAACTCATATATGTATATATATATGTATATAAATGGTAAATGATCTTAATATAAAAATTATGCGATATGTACATTTAAACTTCGCCTTGTCAAAAAAAAAAAAAAAAAAGTTTGCACATAAATGCTTTTAGATTTTCCAACATCGCCAAATATGACATGTTCCACAAAATAAGATAGTTTATCTTGTGGAAAAAGTCAAATACATGGATGCATGTGATTCAATGAAATATTTAATTATTCACTTAAAACGAGTATACTTGATCTTAAAGATTATTATTTATCGCCACTATGTATCCGAGAAAGAAAAGAGAGAGAAAGAGAAAGAGAGAGAGAGAGAGAGAGAAAGAGAGAGAAAGAGAGAAAGAACATATCAATCCAATGTACCTAAATTATGAATTTTTTAATTAACGACGATTTGTTACCATGTAAGAAACGTAGGCGAGATACCGCGTCCGAGATAGATTAACCTACTTACTTAATAGGATCGATGGACAAGTATAGCCTATTGAAAATCCAGTTTAGTAAACGGGGAAAAACGGTAGAGAGTATACGAATATATATATATATATATATATATATAATATATATAATAAATATATGTAATAAAAAGGTATTATAAAATAATAGTTATGGGATGCATGTTGGCAGTGCCTTTTGATCAGCGATGGCAGCCTCATCAGTCTCATTGGCAGCATCCGAATCTTCAGAGTTAGAGGCGATACGTAGCAATTTGCGCTCCAGTTGTTTCTTATAGTTGAGTTGCAGCCCGTCCCATTCCAATCTGGTAGGCACACAGCTCCATACATCTGGGAGAAATAGTATGACGGTTTCAACGCGAGAGGGTACCACTCGCCCGGACTTGTGCGTTGTTTCTGCGCGTCTGTAGTAGAGTTCCAGGAAGCGGTACCTGTGCCGCAAGGAAAAACAATACCCAAACGTAAACTCAAGGTTAATGCCGCTTAGCGTTGCCTTATATGCTAAGTGTTCGTTCGCTTGTTTCGTAAAGCCCACGCACTGCATACAAAGCCACGTACAGCGCACAACGTAGAGAGACCATTTGACAGAGACAAAGAGAGAGAAAGAGAGATAGAGAGAGAGAGAGAGAGAGAAAGAGAGAAAAAAATATACAACTCAGTGGGTCACAATCATAAGAAATAGAACAAGTGATGATTTGTTTCTGCCGCGATATACTCTGCTCGTATATCATCGTCGATGGGGGGATGTGTGCTCGAAACCAGGGATCCAGAGTGCAGCAATCTCCATCGGGTCGCTCGTGTTTAGAACAAATACATACCTCCACTGCAGAGAAATCGAGCTACAATCTTAGCTTATCAGTAAACTGATATTAGAAGTTTACTCCCCGTCGAGAGATCGTTGATGATGAATAATAATACCTATCAGATATACAGCTTAACACGTCATAGTTTTTTTTTTTTTATCTCCTGATTTTTCTTTTTTGTGAGTAACTCGTTTTTTACGTCTCGCAGAAGATAAACTCGAAAAGTATAATCCTAAACACAATATAAAAAAAGAAAAGAATTTTTTTTTTTAAAACAAACTCCCGCAAATTGTGACCTCCGTTTACTCGTTTGCGAGTTGGTATCGCCGGAATGCAGAATGTCAACGGGGCAGATATCGGGTTAGTATTATATATTGCTCTTTGTAACAAGAATTGGGAATTTAAAAAAAAAAAAAAAAAAGTTGTCTATAAAGATGTTTCAGAAATATATACACAATTGAAACACAAAAGATATTGCTATTTGAAAAAGCGTACCACTGAGTGCAGCTGGACAAATCTATGCCGGTAAGTGCTTTACAGGTCCTCACGGCCGTCCTTATTAATACAGACGGATCCTTCTCAGGATTCGGCCCGTCCAACGAGGGACTCCACGGCCCACCTATAGCCATTGTTTCATTTTTGCCTCGTAAGCCTACTAAGAAATTTATAAGGCGCGTAGGATGAACGTAATCGCGATCCGGATCTCTGTCTTCAGAAACGCCACAACATCTTTTATATATTTCTTCCATGGCAGGCATAGATATAAGCATGACCTACAAATAATTCGAAGAATGGTCAGTAGTTATATATTTGATTGATTACATATATGTACGTGTGTATATACATCGAATTTTTGATTGTGTATATGTTGATTTTTATCATACTATCAATATCAGTTTATTCAGAAAATATAAACAAATGTAATGACGATCTCAAATTTAATGACGCAACTCAATTTCTTGACGAACCTTTGCAGAAAACAGATAATCAGCATCCGAGGGCTCTAATACTGCTGTATTTTCGATATAAGGATCGACATCTTTATGCGTAACATGAAACGAGCACGGTTTATTAAGAGTGAATGGCATGTGTGGCGGAAAGGCGTCCACCCATCTGAAGTTAGTGGAAAAGAAGTCGCTAGGAATGTACATATTTTGATAGCGTCTTCTTATCTCAAGTACATCTGCTTCAGGCCTGTGACAACAAGGCAGCAATAAAAATTTTGCTAATAAGAATTAGTACGTAATGCAGTTTGAATAAAATTGCACTTACAGATCGAGCGCGATTTTCGGTATCTGCACCATGTAACGCGGCACGACCCTTGTGCGCCGACGAGGTCTCGGTGATTTGCTTCTTCTAGTTCTCGACGGGCTTCGGTCTTCCTTCTTTTCACGTTCTCTTATTCTTTCTTCGCGACGTCTCTTCCTTTCTATTTCCTCATCATCGTTTCTTCGTTCGCGAGATCTTTCTCTCACTCTACCAACCTTGTTACGATTGCTGGTAGTATTGGAATTTGTCGAACTTGTGAACCTACTACAATAACGTATAAGATTTCGTCTATAAAATTAATTGCACGTAAATGTTACAAAATTTTACATTTAGGGCGCTTATTATTTAGAGACTATTTGAGTATACTTGTGTGTTCACAAATCGAAATTATGCAAATTGGAATTACACAGTTCTTGATTATGAGAGACTTTCCTTAAACATGCTTAAGATTTGAATATTCAATACATACAAAACAGTAAAAGCTCTACTTCACATGATTCTGAAATAGATGGATTACATAATGACACAATCAAACAAAGTCAAGCAACGATCACTTCACCTGTTGTTCGAATTTTCTGCGGGAGGAGGTACGGCATTGTAAGTGCCCGATGTCCTATTAGGCTGTTGCTGTTGCTGCTGTTGTTGACGATTTGGTTGATTGGTTTGCTGAGTATTTGAACTGTTGTTGTTATTAACCATCGGTAGTACTTGTACTCTAGTAGCATTCCATTTAAATGGCATGGAAGGATTGTACGACGCTTCTACTAGCACACGATCTCCTACCACAGGATTGGATCCCTTCACGCATACACTAAAAGACAGAAACTTACTACTCTGTGCAATAGATAAAAAATTTTTTTAAACGATAGATAAAAATTTTATAAAACTTCTTTCCAAAAATATAAAAAATACATCCAGTTTTAAATTTATAAAATTACCTAGTTTGAAAAAATACATCTTCGTCCACAAAACCAAAATTATCATGTACTTTGGTAACAGTGCCTGTGAAAACTCTTTGTTTTGTAGACGATGAGGGTACATTTTGTTGTACCTGCTGTGGAACACCAGCTACCGAAGGTTGAAAAGCATTTGTATTCAATGCTCTTGGCGTTGGATAAGACACCGTAGCCACTTGTGGATATAGTTGTCCTGCTATACCAGAAGGTAGATTGGAACCAAGAGTTGCCATGGATGCCATGGTAATATTAGGCTACAAGAAATAAAAATTAATTTAATTTTTTTTACATTTTAATCTTATCGAAGATAACAAATCTTATATTAATTGTTTAGAAACATTAATTTTGTTTACTTGCTGTAAACCCAGACTTTGTTGATAAACTTGCTGGGTTTGCTGTTGATATTGTACCATTGGTTGCCCTCCAATGCTACCCAACATTTGTTGTTGGATATTTTGTATACCCTGTCCTGTATTTTAAACACAATTACAGAGAATTATTGCACAGTTCATTGTTTTGTATCCTCTTCACGTATCAAAAAAAATAGTTATTATAGTAATATATTATTACAACATAGCGACGTGTTATGACAAAAGTTACATGTTGTAAAATATTCTAAAACACATTTTACTTCAATCAAACAATGCTGTTCTATGCTGCGAGAAACGTCAGGTATCGGAAGGACGAATTTGTTTCAAAACTAAATTACAAAAAAAAAAAAAAAATACAGCACATAAGTGGACTAAGACAAGAAAAAGAGAACAAAATAGACAATATATTAAAGTTCTTCGAGAGATCGCACCATTTTCGTACAAGTTACTGTTACTTTAGAGGTCGTCAGGTGTGTCGACAACGTTTTCTCAAAAACGAACACCCGAACAAAACCTCCGAGCAAAAGATCGCGACACGACTCGATCAACATCGAGCTTGCGTGTTGAACAAAGCGAAAAATTTTTTCGATCGCGAAAACGTTTGTTGTTTTTTTTTTTTTTTCTTTTTTCTATGACTCGATCGCAAAATGAAATTTGGCAACATCGTCGCCTATGTATCCGCGAGACGGATGACGAAAAGAGAGAAAAGGAGGTGGAATTTTATCTCCCGTTCGTGGTCGAATCGCACACATAAAAAAAAAAGCACACACTGCGTTCACCTGCGTTGCGAACCCACGGCGGGTTCTTGCCGCCACCGAACGGTGACAAATTACTCATTCTGCTCAAATGGATAGATCGCTTTGTCAGCTATGGTTATACGTGTAAACGCGACGACAGATCAAGTAGAAACTAACAGCGTCCCTCATTCGGGTGCCATGTTTTCACGACGTACTACGTGAGTCATGAAAATCAGGGTGTTACAATTTCCTTTACGGGGGTTTGTTCGTAATGTTTTGCACTCTCTTGCACTATATATAAGTTGCACACAATGGGTGCGTTCAGACAACTCAACGGTTGAGAGATCATCACTTATGATAGGACTATTCTTGAAAATCTACTGCGGTTCCAAAAGTACGATCCAATCAAAAGTGATTATCTCTCAACCGTTGTGCAACTGTTGAGTTGTCTGAACGCACCCAATTCGTTCGTGTCATAGATACAATGGGTGCGTTCGGACTCAACTCAACGGTTGAGAGATCATCACTTACGATAGGACTATTCTTCAAAATCTGCTGCGGTTCCAAAAGTATGATCCAATCAGAAGTGATTATTTCTCAACTCCGTGTTGTGCAACTGTCGAGTTGTCTGAACGCACCCTATATATTATACGTCTATGATTGGGAGCGACAAGTGGATCCTACCCCGTAGTGACAATGGGTGCGTTCAGACAACTCAACGGTTGAGAGATCATTACTTGTGATAGGACTATTCTTCAAAATCTGCTTTGGTTCCAAAAGTACGATCCAATCAGAAGTGATTATTTCTCAACTCCGTTGTGCAACTGTGTCGAGTTGTCTGAACGCACCCAATGGTTACGTTCAGAGAACTCAGAACGGTTGAGAGATCATCACTTACGATAGGACTATTCTTCAAAATCTGCTTTGGTTCCAAAAGTATGATCCAATCAGAAGTGATTATTTCTCAACTCCGTGTTGTGCAACTGTGTCGAGTTGTCTGAACGCACCCAATTGGTGTCACCGCTTTGACTAATTCGATACTTCGAGAATCGCAATGTCGCATTTCGAATCGAAGAGCGAAACAAAACGCCGTGACGAAAACACGAATTCGAATCGGTTTGTATTTTTCTCGCAGTCACATAGTCGTTCGAAAATAAATCTCACTCTGGCAAATAACTTTTGTATATATAGTTATTCAGAATTGATCCAAAGTTGAAGAACCGGAGCATCAACCGACTGTAAAAATAAACAAATGAGCAGAGCGACCGGTAGGGTTAATTAATCGGCTCAGCTACCGAGAACCGGTAAGTAGCGTATTTTTTTTGCACTCGAATTTGCGTTGGGAACGTTTACAACAACTTTGTTCTCGAAAAAAGTCAATCATTATTTAAATAATTAAATTATTAATGTAACGAATAAATCACGCTCCGTATATACGGTAATCTCTCGCCAATACATACAAATTTAAACTTACAGCGAGAGTTAAGATTTGGTTTAATTCAATTAGTTTTTATTCTCTCGTAATTCTCCCCAATTATGTACAAAAATATAATGAGAATCATTACAGAGTTCGTAACATTTAGGTACATGACGCGATACACCTCTTTTTCATTGCAGCAGCTTCTCGCGCTTTCGTTAAACCTTTGAAGTGCGCCTAAAAAACATGAAATAGTGAAATATATGACAATACATCACACAATAATAATAATAATAATTACGCGCGCGGATCGCCCTTCTATTGTATGTACAACACACGAGAATATCGCATCCAGCATATACGCTATGAAACTCTCTAACACGGTTGTTCGCACTTTTATTTATTTATTTATTTTTTTTTCCATGCAAAACTCTTCCGCCAACCGAATGACACAAAGGAGCACATCTTTGTGACGTTTGTTCTCACACAACAAGCTGTTTTTTTTTCCCAGCTAACTTTTTTAACTATATAACTTAAAAATTAAAATTAACAAATTAAAATTCTATTTGTAAAATTAGTTTTACACATCATTATACACATAAAAAGACAAACAAAATGCAGCCTCGTCTTATGTAACTTCTGAAATTTTATCGCATGAAAAAAATGGTTGAAAATTTATAAAATAAATAGAAAAATTTTTACATTAGAATTTTCAACGATGTCGATATAACGATAAAATCACTCTTTTATAGAAAAAAAAAACAACGTATACATATGTGTGTATATGACATACTATGTTAAAACCGCAGAGAGCTATTAGAGTCACTATAGCCTTCTGTTAGAAAAATATTGTGTGTGCGATATAAGAAGGGAAGAAGTCTTGTCTCGCTTGTCTTAGATGCAATTGAATCGCAGCAAGAATTTATATCTATTTAGAAAACATATGTTATTACGCATATATTATTATGAAAAAACTTGGAAGCTTCTTGTCTTTGTCAGCAAAAAGTTTTTTTTGTACATTGTGTATAGTTCGGTAAATCAAGCTTGCATGTGTGAAAGAAAAGTAAAGGACTGAAAAAATGCGTAGCGCAATTTTCTACATTTAGTGTATTCTCAACAAAAATTTCAATAAGAAATTTTATATATACGTATATAAAACACATATATATATATATATATATTTTTTTTTTAACCTGTGAATACACTTTCAAATTTCATTTTTTGGATTTTGCTTTCAAATAACAAATGGCGAAATGTGTGCGTACAAATTAGTTAATTTCAATAGAAAATTGCACAACAAAAATTAATAGGATTTTTTTTTTTTTTTTTAACATCATAAATCATTAACCGAAGCGAATATTCAGAAGCCTTAAAAATATCTACTCAGAAGAAAATCTTGTCTATATAACTCCCGTAATTACACTAACTCGCTAAGATTATACATTTGCTCGTGTCGTTAAAACTTTTTCATCGTAAACGTATGGTTAAATTTCACAGACCTGAGAAACTAAAGGTATCGAAAGTTGTTTAAGAATCAAACGTGGTTTTTTAACGTAATATTTATTTTGCGCGCCTTATATACAAAATCCGGACGCGGAAATTGCCCATCAGGTTTTTGAGATAAATAAAATGACGCAATTATGACGATTTTCAAAAATCGTTATTTTCTCGCGAGTTATTTTATCTTATTCGTCTAAAAAAATCTAACGCGACGTGCAATCCCATATTTGTATTCAGAGCACAAAAATTACGCGAGAAACCAAATTAAAATTCTCAAACAAAACCTCGCAGATCTGTGTTATCATAGCAGTTTTGTTTTATACCGTAATACCGCGGTATCACAAATTGAAAAACCTGAGAAAACGTAACAATAGATCTATCAGTTAGCATTACTTTTTATCGCAAGTATATACATTATTGTGCGTGAAGAGACAAAATACGCAAAAATTTATGGTTCGAGCAACTCTCGATAATAATCAGAACATTTCTTTTCTCCCCGTTACGTCACTTTTTTTTTCTTTTTTTTTTTTAAGAAAGTTTGTGCACATTCTGGCAATTTGTTATGGCAGTTCACAAGCGCACTATTATTATGCCTTTCAGTGAGAAAAATTTTACAAACGCCTTTCACCTATTGTTTTTTTTTTTTTTTTTTTTTATGCTAAATACAACAAAGACGGTAATATTTTCACCAACATATTTAAAAATGATCAAATTGACGATGCAAAATTGTTAACAATAATTCTGCAACAAACTGCAACAATTCGAAAACGCAAAACAACAGCATTCGTATATAAAAAGTACATTTTTATAAACAATTAACACTAGCATATACATATTACACGACTTATAGAAATATATGAAAAATGACGATGTATGTTTGCGCAACAATATACATATATATATATGTATATATATATATATATGTGTTATTTCGTTATTACGCTCTACTGAATTCTTAATGTAAATATAAAAAATATTAATATAAGCAATTAGACATATTGCAAAATATAAAAAAATAAAAAGCTTTAAATAGTTTTTTTTTTTTTCTTTCAACAGATATCTCTGTTGCTCACTTATCATTTCCATCATTCATTTTCCAATACACTCCGAAAGTCATCGCGTTTAGGAAAAAACGTATAATATGCATAAGTGTAAAACTGCTGAACGCTTTCTGGTGATCACACGCCGGTATGTTTCAAATGTCACTCGTAATCACCAATCGCGCGTATTTACTTTCATTAAGGGAGCTCGATGTGTGACAAAAACACGACGTAAGATTTACGCACTTAAATCTCTCACTCTCTCTCTAGTTCGATAGAAGTTAGCTTAAATTCGTCTGAAAAAATAGCCGAGGTTGAGTTCATTACGAATCGAGAGTAATATTTTAGTTATGAGAGATTTTATTATTATATATTTGTATCATCATAAATAATATGGTATCATAAAAATAGGAAGTGTGTACAAATATATTAATTCTTATAGTGCTTATTTACGAACTCTAAACAATTTGCCCTTTCCCTCAAATATAATATTAGTTGCAGATGTGTATGTGAGTGTGTGTACGTATATATCATACATCACACATTCGCAATCGTTTTGACACTCTCGTTCTTCGCAATCGCTGTCAACGCAAACTTACGGTATTGCGTGTATAAGAGAGTCTCGTTTATTCACAGCGCACGCTCCCCTCTTATAAAGCTTTGATTTCATTCGAACTTCGTGACTCTCGCGACTCGAATGTCACATTATACCTTTTCTTTTCTTTTTTTTTTTCAATCGATTAAAGCGTTCGTATTGTGGCGCACAATAATAAAGAACCGCAGTGCGGCTCTTCGCATTGCCGTTCCTTATGAAAACAAAGCGATCGAAATGAAAAAATTCTTCTCGATTATTTTTTTTTTTTATCATAAATACGGCGTCGAGATAAGACGCTTTTGGTGAAGCAATAGAATCAAGCCGTGGAATAAAGTGAATGCACAAACAGTCCAATTGCAATACACATGACGCTAATAATTGATAAAGTTTCCACAAACTTTACACAAACAATATTAGCAATAAAATATAAAAAATATAAACATATAAGTTGCTACACATCAATAACATTGAAAATGTTGCTAATTGCACTAGAAACTACTTGTACGCCTGAATTAACATACTTATGTGTATTTTAATGAGTTTCTTCTCACTTCAATAAAAACAAAAAAGGTCAAACTGATTAACCATTTATCTTGTTTACTATTCTTTTTTTCTCTGCGCAACTGGGAAGCTGCTTATTACAACAAAACAACAATTCGCTTTTTATTGCATAAATTAATAAAGACTTTTAAATAATCGACGTACAAGCAGTCACTGTCGTATATTTTACATAGAATACAAACAACGGGTTTAAGTCAATTAAACTAATAAATAAGTTAATTTAAACAATAAATTCAAGTTAAATAGAACTAGAAACTTCAAAAATAAAAAATTTAGAGCAAACACAAAACAAGGGACAATAATCAAAATGGACGAATGATTGAACATCATGAAAAAAAAAATTCACAGTCCATGGGAAAGAATTTGTTCATGGCATAATTTTACATGTATGTTTTATGCAATCAGAAATCAAATTTTATAGAAAATGATTGAAAAAAATATAATAAACTCATTCAAAATATTATTCAAAGAGTATATAGTTAGATGTTTAGTACCTATAATAATTTAACTAATGGCAAGGTATCTTAAAAAAACTTATGCTTTTTTTTTTTTTTTTTTTTTTTTTTTAAGAAAACAAGCTCTTACTTTCTCTTTTTGATTAACTACTTATTGGTGTAAACTTTATAAATTATTAGCAATTACCATCGTACTTACGTATCCAACTCTGCTTTACAAGGTTTTAGGCGTTCGTGCCAATTTTAGAAAAGACTGATGTTTTGAACACAATTAGAACTTGCAAAAAGGCAGAGTCAGTATTTATAAGAAAGAATATTCAATTTCAGCGTGCTTCGATGGAAAATGCTTTGAAAACTTGCATGCAACAAGTATATACATGTATATGTGTATATATACATAAATATAAATATATATATATATGCACATATAAAAGATCATCACACTCGTACTCAACAAGTATATAACCAGCAAAAAATGCACACATATGGCAAACACTCCGCTCTCACCAACATAATTATTCGGCGAGGAATGTAGAACGTTTCTTTGTCTCGTGTATGTGCGCTCTCACATTGTTCTCGTCATCATTTCTCATGTTTTTCTCGCGTCTCAATAAATCGGATTTTTCTTCTCAATAAATAACTTTGTCAAGCTATTTAAAATTCAAAAAGACATTACAAATTGCAGTACAGTTTTTTTTGCAACAAATACACACAAAAGTAGTCTTTTTTTGTTTTGCTATTTTTCTTATTTATAATTATTATCGATAACATTGATCGATGTTCGATTTTCGGTTGGCAGGGTGTCACAAGATTTAAAAACCACACCGTTTCACGAGGGATTTCAAAGCTATAGATTGCGCGATGTACTTATTGTTTGAAATAATCAGTTGTGCGCATCTCACACATCACGTTCCTTTTTTCTTTTTAATTTTTCTAACACGGATGTTATAACAATCCTCTTATCGATGATCTTTATGTTAGTGAACACAACTTCTATTCTGCTAACAACGCAGAATATTTAACGAGGCGTTTCGCTTTATATTATCTGTCTGTTCTTTCGATCTAAATCTCACATACATCTCTTCATTTTTTTTTTTTTTATGCATGTGCGTAATTTGGCTTGATAATTTCACACGCAAGTTTATGTTATGAGATGATTGCTTATAAATGTATGAACGGTTAAGTTTGGAGGTACAAGAGCTGTTTGACCACACAATAGAAAATATTCGAACTTCCAACAAGGCCGCGACATGTCCTAAGCGAGCTTTTTCTCCGTGATATTATTGTTGGCAACATATCCGTTGTTCGTGCCGTTGCTGTAACAACTGTTGTATTCCTTGTTGTAAATCATTGCGTACGAGGACACGCCGTTATGTTCCGCGCTGCCATTCTCGTCTAAGACCGGCATGCAAGCTCCACCGCCGCCTGACATACCGTTCTGCATTTTTTTCGCAGAACTTTTGCCGCTGTACTTTGTTTTGTAAAAGTCTGAGAACAATCCAAAGAACAGACAACCGTGCAAGCCGATCCAGATCATAAAACTTCGTGGATAATTGCATTCGGTGAACAGCAATTGGAACTGATGGAACATGATCAGCACAAATTGCACCTGGAATCAGAAAGACAAAAAAAAACATATATAGCACGTACATTTGCTCCTCATACGAACTATTAATTCCATAAAGAACTACTTTCATAAAAACACGAAGTGAAAACACGAACTCACCATTTGCATGGTAGTAAGATATTTTTTCCACCAAATGTACTTCTGGAACTGCGGTCCCATCGCAGCTATCATGTAATATAAGTACATCACAATGTGTACAAAAGTATTTAAGAGAGCGAAAAAAGTGCTATGACCACCCGGTGCAAACTTCACTCCCATCCATACAGAAAAAGGCATTACCCCATGATGAATTACGTGAAGTGTTGATACATGTTGGTTCTTCTTCCTCAGGATAAAAAACAGCTAAAACAAAAATCTAAATTAAATTAAATCAAACAAACAAGATTCTCCTGGAGACACAACAAAGTTTTTGCAATTAATTTTAAATTACTTATTGGATTGTGTTTTTAATTCGAGATTCAAACTCGAAAGACCTTACTATAGGATGAATATGAAAAGTCAAGATACTTACTGTATCGAAGAACTCGGTGAATTTGCTAAAGTAGTACCACCAGCAAGTTCTCGCCATTCGGAGGCCTATTGGACTATTGGAATAGTCCACTGGCTGGCATCGGATACTGTAACCTCGCGCCCAACCGCTCATCAGATACTAAAACACAGTCGTATTCACAACATTTAATTATTCGCAGAACACTATTTACAGTATATATTGTATTGAAATTCTGACAAGAATCGACATTTTTGCGAAAGTTAAAATGCACACTTTTTTCATTCAATATTAAATACAATAAACCCGACAACGTGTGTACGCATTTAATTCCAAGTAATAAAAAAGTGTTTGTAAACTGGAACTGGTATTAAAATATACGTACAAACACAGCAAAAATTGTAAACAGTTCTACTACAAGATTTTATGATTAAAACAGACGGCAGAGATTCGGGAAGCGAGATGCTAAAGATAGCACAGCACTTATTAATTGTTTTTAATTTATGAGTTTCTGGTTATAAATTAACAATACTATTAATGTCGCTTGTCAAAAACTGTGTACAATTATTACGAGTGAAATCAGACTTTGTTCGAGCTTGCATTTTTTTTTTTTTACAAACAAAGTGCCAACTTTACTTCGGTCTCGAAAAAATTCGATCTGTTTGTTAAAAGTATGTAATCAACTTTAATTAAGCTGACGCCATTGCCATATAACCAGCATGGATACTTTTTATAGACTCATTTGCATTCATTCGCTGCTCTATAAATTAAGAATTCAATATAAGTTGATCGATCTGTTAACTTGAGTAACTCGTTTCTGTGGAATACTTCTATATATGTATGTACATAGAGTCCGAACCTATATTCTTAATCTCTCTGTAAGCTTAAATCAAAATTTCTTCTCTAATCTTGTCTCGTTCTTTATAGTCACTGATCGAAGAAAAGAGAATAGAAAGAAGTAATCTTAACTTGTCGGGAAAGAGAGTCACCGAAACCTTGATATTTAAAAATTATTTATTGATATTTCACAGACATATGAAATATGTCATTGAAATTTTTTTGTTTCCAAGAATCTCATTACTAAAACAAAAAATCTCGTTATTAAAATCATTATTAAGTTCTCTTGTGTTAACTTATACAATATATAGTTTTATATTAATACAGAGAGAGATTCCTATTTATATATTATTTTACACATATAATATTATATTTTTCTGTTAATTTAATAATAATGTGGGAATAAGTGCAAGAAGAGAATAGAGAGTTTTTAAAATTTTCTGTAATCATTTACGTGATACAGATTACATGACACTTATTCTCTTACTGATACGTGACGTATCAGTTTCATCATTTTTTTTTAATATCAATTTCGGTCATTACCGTGACCTATCTCAAATGTGACATTCCAGTTATCTTCGAACGAATATCGGTAACGCACGCGCGTGCAACGGTATCGTGGTATCGATGCGAACGCAATCTTAATTACACACAAGTCCAATTCGTACAACTGATATCTCTTTAGATACACGCGTATATGCACGCAAAAAAAAAAAAATTTTTTTAAATAACTAAGTATATATATACAAAGTAATCACTACATTATGATTTAACTCTTTAAATTCCATTAGCGGCGACGTAAGTAAATTGCATTGACTAATGCGTTGAAATGCAAAGGATTAATATTGACTTTTGAACAATTTTTTTCAAAATTTTTGCATTCAATCACAGTAATTGATTAATAAAAACAGAATCAAAATTTACAAAAACGAGATATAATATTCTAAAATGCAATAAAACCTAATATTTATGATACATGCAATAAATCCACAACTATTGTATTTATTATAGTCACGCATAAAACACACATGTGTATGTATGATATGTATGGGCATTTTGTAGATACACAACATTTAATTAAGCGAATAATGCGTATTGCGACTAAGCACTTGTTACTATACAACACCTGATAGTACACTGTGTGCAATTGTAATTTCCGTCCGCGTCCGGTTAACGATCGATATCTTTAGTCGCTCGTATTTCTAACCGAATTCCATTAGCTTGTTATTCATGCGGTATCATACTCTCGCCAAGACAACAATAAAAAAATATCAATCGCGATCTAGATACATGCTTATTGATTGGTATGTATTAATTGGTATATTGATAATATTTGAAATATGTCACACTTTTTCTTTCCCTTTCCTTCATATATGTCTTCACTATACATATATCTATCTGATAATTTCAATCTCAAAATGCTTTTGGCATATAAATTTCATATAAATAAATCGAGAACAAATTTTTTTTTTGTGACAAGAAAGATAGTAAAAGTTTTAACTATTGGGAGATCTCAAAATGTTTGCTAGAACGTGCTTCTCTTGATAAGGAATCGCGTATTGCTGCTCGTCGAAGTTCACTCTTCGAACTAGGACACTGCCAACGGCAGTTGACTGACTCTGTCGAAACAAAATGCGAGAAAGGAATAATTGAAGGCCGTCTGCTAGGCACAATCGCAATTAAATTCTTACAGGAAGTGATTACGGAAAATAACGCAAGTGTATTTATATATGTAAATTGTAACTACATACGTAACTAAAAATTCTTGTTGATCCGTCGCTCATACAATTCATTTCCTCATTGAAAAAAGACTTTCATTGAGACAATATTTGTTGCCCATAATTAAAATTAGTTTGTTTTACTTTTACATTTTTTTTTGTTCATTTTGTTTCTTATATTATTATAGCTATTGAAAAATGTGCTTATATGTTAAAACGCAGACATTTGCGATTGAAGCGACATTCCAAAGTCTGATATGTTTAATAATACATGATTTACCTTGACGATTTGCCGGAAACGAATATTTTATCGCTTAAGATGTTATTGTTTTACTTATTACGCAAAAACCGTATTTTACTTGCGTCAAGAAAAATATTTTATTTCTGTAAAAAGATCCCGAAGTGAAAATACTAATAGACAAAAATTACAGTATAAAATTTATGTTTATTTACAATATAATAAAACAAATATCCTAATCTTTCTATCAATAAATTCAATTACTTTGCGGTTTAAACATAAAATCGTATAAAAAAGCAAACCTCATAGAATATCCACGTGGAGAAGAGTGTTTGTAGAAGATTATATATTATGAGAATCCTTCGAAGATCGAAAGGCTTTCTGTTTTCCATCAGCTTCGGTCCCAGAACCTTGCTAAAGTAAGCGTAAAACAGGCATATTGCCAGGGTCGGAAACGGGCTGCTCATCATGACCCAGTCGTTCACCCTGGGATCTGTAAACAAAAGAAAATAAAAAGATTAAAAAAAGATGAGAAAAAAAAAGGACGCAAGAATAAATGACAAAAGAACCGGTCAGCGCTCGGAAGCTAATTTAGAAGAGAAAAAAAAAATGTCAAGATCGATAAGAAACCTTGGAAGAAATAAAACGAAATTTTAATTCTTGCTTGAAAACAATTGACGCGCAAATGTATATCCAGTATTTGTAGATATATATACGGAAAGTGGAGCACGTGTGATGATTTAAAAATATTTTATCGTGTATTACACAACACGTCTCACGATGCGCACCTGTTAAAGTTCGAAAGTGTGTGGGAAGCGTTATGCGGGACAAAGAAATCTGTCGTCAACACGTTAAAATCACACACAAACCTGGCAAATAAATATCAATTGCAAATGGAAATTCAAAGCTTCTGGCTCTCGTTCCAGCCATATTATTGAATTATTACATCAGAAGCGAGAAATCCATATATAAATCTTTCTTGTTATCCGATTCATATCAAAATAAATTCAATTTTTTCTCATCGCGAATTATCATCTAACATAGATCGATAAAAACTTGCGCTAAAACATTTTCCTTCTTTATTATTCTCACTGATAAGTGCGTGCATACACTTAAATATCTGTGTCATATGTCTCCAACGAAAATAAATCTTGCGAATTAAAAATGGGCCGATACGAAGTGAGATACTGAATGTTCTTGTACGAAGTAAATTTTTTATATTCAAAAATGCCAAACGTTTCGACTCCTAAATTCAGTCTTCGTCAGTGGCGTACAAAAATCTGTAAAAAAAAACTGATTTCGGAAATGATCCAAATTAAATTGCACGAACTAATGCTACAAATATCATCGTGTCGGATATCGAGAAACTAAAAATCTTACTTCTCATTTCTAGAATCATATAATTCTAAATAAATATATTTCTTTAAGTTGTTCATCTTGAAAATTTTGACAAACGTATTATTGGCGCGGTGGGGAATAAGTTTAACTTATTTTCGATCTTTGTGAAGACTGTACGTCAATCGTGTTGCGTTGTGCTTGCACATTGCGTTTCATCAAGCATGTACGCGGTTTGAAAACGCGTTGTTTTTAATCAAAAAACCATTATTACAAATAAAAAAATTTTTCCGTGTGTCTCCCTCGCTTTGAAATCTGACGCACAGCTTGATTGTTTTCCCTGCGGTGTGAGTTTTTTAAACAATTATATCAATCCTTTGCCCAATTGTTGTGTGTTTTGTAAACCTTTTATATAATCTTATTTGGTATCTTTTGTATACAGATTTTTGTACGCCACTGATGAAGATTCAATTTAGGAGTCGAAACGCGTTTGGCAGTTTTGAATATAAAGACACTTTACTTCGTACAAGAACATCCATCCGGTACCTTACTTCGTATCGGCCCATTTTTAATTCTTAATTGACAATTTCACGAAGTATATCCGTACATCGCTTACACTTGATAAATCTTACGATTCTATCCAGAAGAGACTTAATGTCACATAGATTATATTTGCGGTTGTTTTCTCTTTTATACTCTTTTTATAACAATATTTTTAAAAACGCATTAAAAAAAAAAAAAA